TTGAATGTCAAATAAATGACTTGATTGACATTGATAAAGAACAGTTCCATATTGAAAGAAAAAGGATCCAGGTTTTTATGGCTGTACCTACACTAAAAGAAGAGGCAAAACATTGGAAAAACGGGGAGAAGGGCCCTCTTGATCTGCTAAAATTTATTCAGCAGTATAGGTTGGAAAATTCTGTTCCCAACATTGTAATTTTGTTAAGAATTTTTTTAACAATTTCAATCAGTGTCGCTAGTTGCGAAAGAAGCTTCTCAAAATTGAAGTTGATAAAAAATTATCTTCGTTCTACAATGAGTCAATTAAGACTACAAAATCTTGCAATATTGTCAATAGAACAAGAAATTACAAATAATATAAATTTTGAGAGCATTATACACGAATTTTCTAGTAATTTCAGTTTCTTTTTCCCCGAGTCCTAAATTCCGTATCAGCTCAAATTTCCCGTTATTCCGGTCCAAAGCTGTGGAATTGACATCAACAGATTCAGTGGTTTGCGAAGAAGTCTGAGAGAAAATATTTTTTCACTTTTGAATACTGGATTACATACTGGTTTAGTTTAAAAATTTCACGAAAAATGGCGAAAATTGAATTTTTGTCTTTGTGATCATTCAGCCATACGATTATTGGCTCCCGTGAATATTCTTAGCAATTAGGCTAATTACTAGATAATTACAAAATATCGAAATTAAATTTTCTTAGCGTTTTAATCTTTTCATGAAGAGCCTATGGGCCAAATTTTAGCTTTTTAAATAAATATTCCTATTTTCGGTTGTAACGGAGCCACTATGGTTCAGTAGTTAAGGGTGTGTTCAGGGCTGGTTGTTGTTAATTTACGTCACACTTGAGCTGCACAATGGGCTATTGGCGACGGTCTGGGAAACATCCCGGAGGATGATCCGAAGACATGCCATCACAATTTCAGGGCTGGATTACCCATTATGCCAGACTAGACCATGGGGCCCAAAATGATTAGGGACCCCTTTAAAATGGATTCCGTCGGATTAAAAAATTAAGGAAAGCGATGATTTTTCAAAATGTTATGATTATTTTTTAGTTCTAATTTAATAGAATAAAGTAAAATTTAATTTATTTTTATTATAAGTATGCTTTCTTAAATGAAAAGATATATAAATGCTTTTATATTTGAGTAAATAAAAAATAAACGAGAAAAAAATTTAATCTGAGGGCCCCAAAAATTTGAATGACCTAGGGTCCCGCATGCGCTTTATCCGGCCCTGGGTGTGTTAGATCCTCAGCTTCATATCAATAGGTAGTAAAGGCAGCCTGTGAGCAATGCTGACCACTTAGCCATAATCATGGGGTTAGGCACTATATTGTGGAGCCTTAAAACCTCCATCACCACCCTGGTCCATAATAAGTTGTTGCGTGAATGCTTTTTCTTCGTCTTTTTTTCCCCCTTTATAACAAAGGGTATGTGGTTTAAAGTAGAAAGAAAGAAAAAAAAAATTGGAATTTAAAGAAAAAATTGCTTTAAGTTCACAAATAAAAAAGTCCCTTTAAAAACACTAAATTTCAATTCTGAACTTGCAGTCTGAGAGCTACAGAGTTACTAATGTGTGTTTTCACTGCAAGTTTAACAGTTAATAATTCTTGAACTAATTAAATAATGTTTAAATTTTTTATTCCATCACACTGTTTATTCTCCAAATCTTTATATTTTCAAGTTCCTTAGTGCCAAAGTCTTATAGTCTTGCGCTGCAAAACGAAATTTAAAGTATCATAAAGGTTATCCACCAAATCAGTGATTTCTTTCACCATTTTTTAACATAGATTCTTATAAGCACTTAAAAAAATAGCAAAAAATTGAAGAACGGTATCAAAATAATAAACCAAAAAACCTATTGTCCAGCGGTTTTGAATTGGCGACCGCTGGAGCGAAAGACATGATTTTCAAATGCTCAGTGTACACGGACGTATAATGGGACCTTATTCTTTCTTTCTGTTTCGCAATTTTAGTTCTTACTTTTTAACAACTCGAACATTCATGTAGAGGTAAATAAAAATAAATTATAAGTTTGAACTTGGCTCCCTATATTCATTAATGAATGTTATGTTTAATATGAAGAATTTATGTTTCAATTATTGTTTTCTTATTATGTGCAACTATATTTGCAGCTTAGCAATAATTACTAGGTTTAAAAATTTTAGTTTTTGCTCAAAATATTCCTTTTCATTTAATTTATTCCGTAAATTGCGTTACTTTGCTTTTATTCAATGGCATTCAGTTTTTACAAAATCAAATATTATTACATATATTACCGCCGACGCTAGAAAGCTGTTAATGTGAAAAATATCTTGCTAATATATAGATTGACTGATTTGGTCCACTAAAGTGCGGAATCAAGAGTTTTCACATTTTATTTTACCAAGGTAATGTGCACAATAACGGATTTAGTATCATTAAAGTTCAAGCGTTTATTTCTCTCATTTCCCTTGCCGTAATATTCTCTATTTTAAACCATTTGATTCTTTGTATTACAGTTATTCAATTGATTGATTCTATCAACTAATTTACTGATTGCATTAATTTCATTCTTAATAAAAAAATATAATTATGATAATTTAAGATGCCCAGTGACGTAGCTGCTGTTCTTGCAAAGATCTTATTTTCCATTTAACGACAACGTTGTAGGCAATTTTCGATCAATAATGGATCGCCTTAGTTAATATTTTCATTACCAAGATAATCTGCAGAATAACTGAGTAGTTAAAATTCAACTTAAATTCAATTCATATTCAACTATCAATAATTAAAATTTCTTTAGAGAAAAAAAAAAAAGAATGATCCTATTCTATTTTAAAAAATATTGTTTGTTTATTTGAATGTTTTTAAAAAAATATTAAATACATATGTTTTTACCATTTGGTTGGAAGCATATTTTTCATTATTCTTTCACAATATTACATAGATATTGATTTGGATAGATATTGACAAGATATTGATTTCTCATTTTGATTCTGTTGCGAAAAAAAACCGTTCATTCTTTAAGTTGAGCCACATTCCTTTCAAAGCATTGTATCTAAAATCCTATAAACAATACAATAATTTCAAAATAAATTAAGTTCACTTGTTATTACTTATTCCTTTGTTTTTCAAAATTATGTAATATTCCTTTTTTAAATAAAATTCAACAGCTATCTGCCTGGTTTGGGATCCCGCAGTGGACTGATCGTTAAGACACGGTTGCCAACAGAACACCGAAGTCAAGCATCACTGGCTGTGGTCAGTGTGCGGTTGGGTGACCACTTGGGATCAGTCTGCGTAAGGACCGAGAGAGTGCGGTATTGGTCCTCGTTAAACTGTTCTACCGTAAAATGCTCGACTTCGCGTGCAGGTCGTCGGGCTACCAAAGAGGGGGTGCCATCCCCTCTGCAGAGGATCAAAATTGTGATAGCATGTCTTCGAATCATCCTCAGGGATGTTTCTCAGACCGTCGCCAATAGCCCATTGTGCAGCTCTAGTGCGACGTAAATGAACAATAACTGTTTGGTTTGGCAAAATATACAAGTATGAGGACACGCATGGCTCCTCGTACTCACAGAGCTCAATTATGTGTTTGATTCATGACAGATAATTTTTTAAATGTATGTATGAAATTTGAAAATGAAATTTCCAAAATAGGGTATTTTTTTTAAAATATAAGTGAGGCGCTCTGTAATAATAGATATGATATGCAATGTACAAATAGAGTTAAATTTTTGTGTTGCATTTATGCAAACACTTGATTTTGCCTAATTCGGGTGTGGGGATTTCAAATCTGCTATTAGTTTCGCTCCGTAATCTACAGATTTTCTTTTAAAATTGATATTATTAGTCTAAATATGCATATTTATAAAGCTATATGTAATAGGGGTGTCGCATAAATGCTGCGATAAACTTCTCGGTTAGTTAGGACACATCATTAGGATTAAATACGCATATAAACCCGTTCCCGGAAATGTCGTCGTAAGCAGCTAAAGGCACTTCCCTATTATGACCTGTTCAGAAGCGCACGAATAAACAGTTCTTGATAAGGAAGCACCCTTAGCGGCGTATTTCGGCGTTTCCGCGGATGGCTTCTTTATGCAATTTTAATCCTGGTGATGCGCTGTAACTCCCCTAGAAGTTTCTCGCAACATGTACGTGAACCCCTGCTATATACAACGTTTTTAAAATTGTACATTTCAACAAAAAAATAGAATAAAAATATTAATAAAGAAAACTGTAGCTTGTAGAGAGAAACAGAATATAGATTTGAAATCAGTGACGTAAAAGTATCCATCATACGTTAAAAAATCTCATGCATCAATCTATGGAACATTTATTAATATTAAAAATACAAATAATGAGAGAGCATAAAATAATTTATTTATAAAGAAAATCAACCAACTAATATTGCATATGTACAGTGGCCCCCATCTCCCTCAAGCTCTTGGGCGCATTCATCCCCCTCCAAAAAAAATTTGCTATAACTTCCCCCTTCCATGTTAGCTTGTTCGAAATAGTGCTACTTGCTTGCATTTTACTCATAATATGACAATGCTTCTTTTATTTATGTACTTAAAAAAAATTCTCTCATCTAATTCCCCCCCAAACTATTCGTTTTATTTAGTGTAAAAATCCCCCCCCCCAATCTTTAAGTGGGAGCATCGTTCCCCCACCTTCCCCCCTAATGGGGGCCCCTGCATATGTAAGTAGTCATGTAAAAGAAAATGGAAAAAACGTCTGAAAAAAAAAAATAGAACAACTGTTATGATATTGTTGACTAGATTTTACATCACTAAAAGAGGTAGAGGGAAAAAAAAAATCTAACTTACGCCATTTATCTATCCCAGCAATTAGGTTGATAATTGGTAACAGCAATATGACTACTTTTATGTTTTTCTTTTAACAAATAATTATACGTTGATGTTTTGTTGAAAATTTTAGCTTTGAATAGTAAGTGTTTTTAGGAATTTAAAAGAAAAACTAAATTTACTTTTCCATTTTTTAGTTGAACTCCCAAGAATAAATGAAGCATATGAATCAGCAAAATATTTTGAAAATACCAAGAACTTACAAGAAGCGGCAAAAAAAGAGAGACTCCTAAAGACAAATAACTCAATTAAAAATGACAGCAATTTTAATGTAGCACTGTATACATGGTTTCCGTGGTTTGAAGAAATTACTAGTGATCCTCTAAAGTCAAATACACTGCCAACGAATGATAGTTCAACTGAATTCATTTCAATAGCAGGAAGTAAGTTTAAGAAATATTATTTACTCGCAAATTTTAAATTTCTTGACCCAGGTTTTCCTAACTTTAAGCTGCATCAACAAAACTCTGCTGATCCCCATTTTAATACTCGCTAATTTTAACTTTCTTTAGACCCACGTTTTCCTAACTTTAAGCTGCATCAACAAAACTCTGCTGATCCCCATTTTAATACAAAGCAGGAAAAATTATGCACAACTTTGTTCAAAGTCCAAATGCTTAAAAAATGTAGACATTAAACTTATTTTATTTTGTAACACCGTCCTTGAACAGACGATCCAATTTTGAGTTTACGACTAATAATATTTAACTCCGTAGCCTTGTAATTTTGATCCCAATCCAAACGACAAGAGAACTCCTGTGTCAAGTATTGAGTGGGACTTTTTGATGGAACTAACATTTGCGCTGCTTAGGAGAAAACCTCCCACGGTTAGCCTGACGGCAAGAGGACTGTTACCCATGAGCTATCTACCACTGAGGACATTTTACGTCAGCTCTATGATCGGTGCGAGCCAAGTATGTAATTCGAATTAATCGACCATCGCTGGGATTCGAACCCGCCTCATTGGAAGGCGAACACTCTAACCCGTGAGTCATCGCGGTTCGTCGAAAAATGCATGTATGTGACACGTTCCCACGGGCCGCACATCAATAGTCGACGAGCCGCAAGTTGCACCCCTAGTATAGTGCCTCATCCTCCAAATAATTTAAAGTTTGGATGTTAGGAACAAAACTGTTTCTATTATTGAGATTGTCAATTATTCTTTTTGAAAATTTTACTTAACACTCAAAACTATTATTTGTTCGGGAGAAAATCATTTTTTTTAACCAAATATTTTTTTTTTAAATATGTTTAAGTATCGAGATAAATTTGCTTTCGTGGAGGACTTTTTGATGGAACCAACCCGTATTTACTTTACATGGAGAGGAAAATCTCCAACGGTTAGCTTGACAGCAAGGTGACTTTGTATTCGAACCCCGGTCACCTCATTGGAAGACAAATGTTCTATCCCCAGTTAAAAAAGAAAAAAAACACTTATTTTATTGTAGGTAATAATTTTTTTAATGCAAAATCATATGAAACTTACGAGTCTAATAGAATATTTTAATGGAAAAGAATATTAACAAAACTGTACTAAGTAACAATAAAGTTAGCATAACTGTCAGGATATTTGAGATTTGTTTAATTCAATAATTTTAGAATTATAGGAGGTTGTGAGTTTTTTGAATGAAATACAGATAGATTGAATGCCATAAATATTCTTTCAATAACTACTGGTGAGACTTAAAATTTAAAGGAACCCATGGGAAATAAACTTATTTGTACATGGATAGTCAAGCCTTATCTATCACCAATAGTATACTGGAATGATTTCTATTCAGCTTTAGTTTTATGAAGTTTTAAAAATTTTAAATAATAGCGAAAAAAGGAATAAACAACAAACAACCCTTCACCAAAATTTTGAATAAAAATTTGTATAAATTATCTAAGGATAGATTAAACATGTAAACATTTTGAAACAAAAGACAACTTAGGATGGCCGTAAACGCTCGGGGAAAAAAATCGCCTGATATTTGTAACTGATAATTAAAATTTTATCATTAATTTTTCAGTTCCGTCTTATTCTTGTATTGGGCTTTATTAGAAAGAAAAAAGTGGTATATTTAAAATTTGATTTCTTAGGAACTATTGAACCGTTTTCGTCCAAATTTTGCCTTATACTCTAAAATAATGAAAAAATTCGGCTAACTTACAATTCACTATTTTCCGCTTATTATTAAATAAAATAATTAATTATTAAAAATTATTTTTTGCATGGATTTCGAATGAATTTTATAATTATGTGAAATTTTTTTTCAATTCTCTGAAAGAAATTCTCGAGATATGGCGAAATATGCAAAAAGTAAAATTAGCATTACGGGTCTCCACTTGAATTGCTCTCCTGATCAAACTATTGTCGAAAAAAAAGGTATGATTATTCAAAGAAAGTACATTTTCTGTCTGCTTTTGAGCTTGAAATATTGTTTGCTCCAATTAACATATTTGAGTTCACCCCTTTAAACCATTGAGTCCTAATACGTGAAGATCCGATCAAAAGGTATTTAGAGTGTTCGTTTTGTTTTTCGCAATGCACAAAAAATATAAAATAAAAGTTTTTTATATGTCATTAAAGATGAAATAAACAACTTTTTTTTTGTAAAAAAAAAGCATTACAAGAATAAATTAAACATGCATATTACGAGAAAGAATTCAGGCAGATAGCAACAAAAATTTAATCAATTTAAATGCATTAATGAGGCAAGAAAACTTTTAGTCAGAAATCTATTTATTGTCATAAACCGAACCATTACCATCAGAAAATATATTTAAGAATTTGTAACTATGTTTTTTGGAGAGAAAAAAGTGAACTTTTAGGTATCTTAAACCATAATTAAAAACCCCTCCCCAGTATTTTGGGTACTTCAATAAAATGCCCTAAATTTTCTAGATTAAAATTCTCTGTAAAACTAGCATTTTATTTTCCTTTTAAAAACTTATGTTTGTATAATTTGTTTCCAATAACTAATATATTTTTTAATGAATTCCAGTTGGGTATTGGCAAGAAATTAAACTTCACAGCACAAATCACAATCATAGGAAAACCAATACTATAACCCACTTGAGTTCTACATCTGCACTGGAAGGAAGAGAAGCAGGATCATCTATTCCTTTTCTGAGAAAAACAACTATTTTAGCAATAATAATAGCAAGATTTTGCTATTTTTTCATGATGTTTTAAGAGTGTTACATATAACCTATGCTATAAATATTATCAGAGCAGTTTGTTTTTTGAAATGATACATTGCATTAGGTTGTTGTATATGAAATGCCCCTTTCTTGACTGCAAACACAAAAAAAAAATATATAAATTGAAAAAAACATTTAATTTTTCTCTTAAATTAGGAAAAGTCTTCCACTTTATGAAATCCGTGCCTTATTTCAGATTAAAATTTTATTCGGCAGGATACTAAAAAAAAAAAAAAAAAAAAATAGCTTTGTTAGATTTTCTAAATATTGAAATGATAATATATATATGTAGAAATATTTATAAATGTAGAAATATTGAAAATTTTCTACATTTAACAAGATTTCAAATTTAATGAAAAAAATCGAATCTTTTGTTAGGTACAATGTTATGAATACATTAGAGTGTACTCTTTAAAGCTAACCCCTACTTTAATTTCCCTTTTCCTTTCCTATGAATTTAATGATGGAAGTATTTTTGATATGAAATAAATAAAATCAGAAATAATGAAAATGAAGAAATACTGTTTATTATAAATCATTTATAACTAACAAAAATCTTTTACATTATACATTATTACAAAATAGGTTTTGCCACCATGCATAATATGGCCATTCTCATTGTTCTCTACACATGCATGCTAATGTTTAGACACTACAAGTAAGGGGAATTAATAGCTAAATACTGTCAAGTTGATCACCGAACTTATAAGTTACATCTATAATCAAATTCATTCTACTAAAGCAAACAAAACTTTTGTAACCTAATCAGCTGTCTACCTTGTATGTTGACTGCTGAAATATGTCAAATTTGTTTAGAAGTGTTATTGAATGCTATTTTAAACACTTCATAAATTGACCAGAAAGGAAAACTTTTCTAGAAAATTTTCTATCATTTTGTTTTGCATTCAAGTTTTACTAAATAAGTGAAATAATATTGAAAACTGACGTAGACCCTTTTCGAGTTGACCATATGGGAAACTATTTAGTTTTTTTTATTAATAAGTAGGTTTGTACTAAATAAAATTAAATTAAAATTTGAATTTTCTAATTGAACTTTGATTTTATTTATAATAAATAACTGGCATAAATATATAAGATATTTATGTCTGCTTTTTTAAAACTAATTAGTTTAATATAAAATGTAACAAATCGTTATTCATCATATAATTAATGTTATTTTTTTAAGATGTATGGGGTCTTTACCCCAGATATAAATAAAATTTTTAAGTCATGTTAAAAAAATTTTGAGCATATTTACCATTATTTTGATTGATAATGTATAAGAAATGTATAAACAACATTATATGCAGTATTTTTAAAGAATAATTTTTAAAAACGAAACAAGTGACTTATGCAAATGGACAATATCACATAACAAATTTTGATTTATTAGTTTGTTCTTTAAAAAAAGAATAATACATACAAAAATGCTTGAAAAACAGAATCAAATGGTATGTCCATTTTCTTAAACAGATACGTACATTTTCGTAAACACGCATTCGCATTCATATTTTTGTAAATATGTATTTAGAACTGTGCCCTTTAATGTTAACATGTATCTTGAGATGTATCAAAATTAAAACACTCTGATGTATAATAATGATGTATGTATTAATTATTTTGAACCCCACTGCCAAGTTTGCCCCATGACTGAAGTATCACCCAGTATAAATCATTGTCAATGAGACAGCAGTCTCTGTAAGTTTATGTTATGTATATAAATAGAAAAACACCCACACATAAAAAACATGATAGTTTATTTATTTGTATAAAAAGTTTGATAAAATAACACATTATAGTACAAAATGACAAACGAATAAAAACAAGACTTTTCTTTTAAGGATTTTCAGGATTAGTGAGAGTTAATGTTTCAAGATTCAAATTGTTTTGTGCAGTTACAGTTTCTGCACTTAACGTTTGTTCAGAATCTATGTTCATTGCAGAACTACCACATTCTTTGGAAGTTGATGGTGCAAACATCTGAGTTTGTGGTTGAGCTAATTTATTTTCCCGTTTTAATTGTACAGCTTCTTTATAAGGAGGATCAATTGGAACTTGAGTTGGTTGACGATATTCATAAACGTGATCTTCATTTAACTAGAAATAATTACATTAAAAAAATCTGTGTCAAATTCGGGCAAATCCACTAGCATACACTTTTTAAAAAGCAAACAGATATTTAAATTTATGATTTAGTTTTTTTAAAAATATGCTTAAATAGATAAGATAGTTATATACATGTTAAGGGAAATGGCAAGATGTTGGCAACATGGTTAACAATGCACACCAGCTGCCAACATGGATAAGAAAAAATCTAGTAAATTTTACGAAATAACATAAATTTCATGATAATTGTTGCATAATGTACTAAATATTTTACACATAGGGAATTTTAGGGATTTTTATTGTCATCAAAATAGAAAAACTGCAATATTTTCCAGTCATGATTGACATTAAACATACTTGAAATGTTATGTATTATGTTTACTCATAATTGTGAATATTAATAGGCATTTAATTCTTCAAAGATAGTTAAAAGATTTTTTAAAATTAATTTTAAAAGAGAATTCTAAATAAAAATAAACTAAACATTTCAAAAAAAAAAAGTTTTGAACTGATTTCTATAAATGAGGTTGGCTTCATTATGTATAAGTAATAATTATTTAAATATTCAAGCAAGCAAACAATAATCTGTACAAAAATTCTATTTCAATAGGGATTTTTTTTAGAAAATTTATTAAATTTTAGGGAATTTTCTAAAATATACAAAAATTAGGAGAATTTTTATTAAACCAGTAGACTAGGAGAAACTGACAAAATCCAGTAGTCTACTGGAAAATCCAATAGAGTTGGCAGCTATGTGGCATCCCTTCCCATATGAGCTGGTAATCATCTATCTGAAGCTGAGTGAGCCACTGAAAATAGAATCCTAGTCCACAGTGATAGCTTAAGTGCCTTAACCACAGTGTCATCTCTGCTATATATATATATATATGTAATGTTAAAAGAATTATATACATTAAATTTAATTCATAAATAAAGCTTATATCTGATGCGCAATTAGTTAAAACCTTTCCCATGAAGAAGTAATAATGTTGACAGAATTATCTCAGAAAATGTGATGACGTGTCTTTAGTAGCTTTAAAAATCGATCAGTTCTATGTTATTAAGACCCATTATTTAAATACATAGTCCAGAAAGATATAAAAACTCTCTTTCCAAAGATAAACTAGCTCTTCTCTACCTACCCACCAGAATGTAATGTTCTCATTATTGGGCCTCCAGCTTTCACTTAAATAAAATTTTACTTTTCCCCACGTTCTGGTACTTATTTTCAATGGAATTACAATGTTAATGCTTTCAAAGCATAACACACACACACATATACACACACATTATTATATATACATAAATAACCAACCTGCAAAGAGTAAGTTTTATCAGAATCATAAGCACTCAAATCTCCACATGCTACGAAAGGAACAATGAAGCGATTAACACCAGTTAGTTGTGTGAAATCATCTAAAAAGTTATTACAAATCAGAGTGCTAGACATAAACATACATATAATAAAATACATCAAAATAGATAGTTGAAATTCACTGTTGTCCATTGTGAAATAATCTATAAATTTATTTTAAGTTATAGAGTATAGTTTATAACTCTAATGCAACATTAAAACTGAAGTCCTGAGTATCCCTGCAAATAGTAAGAAATTAAGTGGAACTTTATACTTAAGTACAATTTCATCAGAGCCAGCAGAATAATTATAATAGAAGTAGGAGTTACAGACACAGGTAATTAACTCCCACTGTTATTCGTTACATTAAACTAATTACAAATCTATTTCAAATTAATAATTACATTACAGGTGAACAACCTGCAGCTCTCTGACTGTTGATGTGCGGCCTATGGGAGCTTCTAAAGACACTAAAAATTTTTTTGAAAAATAATACATGTAGAAAATTTTAAATTGCTCATTTGAGTAATCACTTTTTGACGCTCTTATTTCGCTCAGATTCATTCTATAGTAAATTTACTTTTTGATTGCTTTTCTCAGTGAAAATATATAAATAAATAAAATTAATAAATAAATCAATAAAATAAATATAATTCTGAAGAACAAAATATAAAAAATATATATAAAATTAGAAATAATTCATAAACACAATGTTCATATTAAGTTATCTAATTTTTTACAGAAAAGGTGAAGGGAAAATTTTTTCCCCCAGAATTAAATGATCTTTAGAAATTACATAATTCATAAAAATATAAATAATAACTGAATCTTTTTATTTAGTTACCATATTGCAAATCTAATAAAGGATTCATCATATTTGGAACGTATCCATCAGGAGGATTGTAGCCTTGGCACACAGCAAATGCTTCTGAAATAAGTAATAAAATTTTTTTTTAAGACTCATATTGAGTAATTCTAAAGCACTTTAGACACTCCAATCTTTAGGTAGAAAATAACTTGAGTAAATACACCAGAGTGGGTAAAAAATATTGACATATGGGTATTTGCTTAAATAACTTAAATCAAAAAGTTTTTTGTAATGTTTAAATTAAATAAAAATATAATTTTATTATTAAAATAATAAAATATTAAATTTCATGACAATCAAAATGATTTCTTTTTCTAATATTTGGCTTAATATAGAGGTTAAAGCTATTTATCAATAATTAGAATTACAATAACACAGAAATATATATAATTAGTGCTAGTTAGTTAATTCTATATAGGTATATAATAATAATAAAATTATGCTTGAATTTACTAATTAAATAAAAAAAGAAACACTTAGATAAAGTTGGTAATAACAATTATTAAATTAAATTGATTATTTGGAATCAATGAGTTAGCTTTAAAAAATAAGAATTAGCCCTTAATACCCTTTTATCATTCTGCATTTGTACCACTAGAAAATTTTGCTTACAACATTTCAAATTACTTTCCCACTAAAGAGAGAAGATGAAGTTTCAAAATAACTTGTTAGAAGGGAAAAATCAATGAAATTCCGTTATTATTGTTGATTAGTTTCAAAGAACAAATATTCATAACTATTAAAAAACTTATTTTAAACAGATTATTACTAAGAGTTTCCAAAATCGTAACTTTTATTACTAAATCATAAGACCATAATCTTGATAATGAAAGCTTAATAATTGCGGTAAAATCATGATATTTGGCACATCTGTTAACATAGCAACTAATTATTCAGTTAGTAATTATTTCAAGCTGTCAAGCTTGATGACAGCAAACAGATAGTTTTAAACTTTAAAATATAAGTCATCTAGTAGCTAGCTCATGGGATTCATTGATATTTGCAAGTTCAATTGTAGCTATCATGTTGAACTAACATTGCTTAATGTGAAGAAAAAAAAAATTTATATCCCGATTAAATTTTGATCTAATACTCAGATTTTTTGAACTTTACCTAAAATTTGCCAATTAATTAGAGAAGATGATATTTTAGGTCATAAAATCAGATACAAAAATGTAGTTTTTTGGAGCAACCTACTCCTTTTGAGGTTGATTCTTGATCCTAAAAACATAGTTCAAATAGTTAAAAAAGGAGAACAATCAAGACTTTGGAATCCTTAAAGTTAATATATTTTGCTACATCTATAACTTTATAAATAACTTGTAAATAAAATTCCATCATTAAATTTCCTTTTCCTTATTACCAATAAAATTTCCATAAATAAGTAAAGTAATTTTAGATAATTATTTATTACTTTTTATTATTATATATTTTATTAATCAAAAAATTTTAAATAGTAAGGTACACAAGTTATTACATTATATTTAAAGTATATAAATTTAAATGGCAAAATACAAAACTTGAAAGAGATCAGAAATCCAAATTTAAGAGAAAGTATATTTTTGCACCTAGTTTCTTAATTTAAAATATTGTATGCCATTAATTAATTAGCATATTTAAGGTTAGGCCCTCGAACAATGAAGATTGACTCTAAACACATGCAAATCCAGTCATTAGATTAAAAGTTAGAGATAGTTCACTTTTCTACTTCGTGTACTGTAATTTAAAAGTGTATAATTAAACTTTCAAACAGAGCTTAAAAATCTATTTAATATACTATCTGTGCACAATTTTCAAAAATATCAAGTGTTACTTTTATAATTTGAAACACTACATTAATATGCCTTTATTTTCGAGAAATTTATTACTATGGCAAATCACATATAATTTTGAATACACTAGCCTTATATATTATACCATATATGTCTACTCCATAAGTTGAGATCAAATTAAAAGATACAAATATATATATATATANATATATAAATAAAAACATTTGCTATAAGTATACCTATGCTAGAATTTCTGCTACTGCGAGGTTTAGCAATAGTAACATTGTTGAAAAATATTTTCAACTGAGCAAATAACAAGGTCACGTCTTTGCCTCTAAATATCTGTGAAAGAAAAATCAATTAGAAAAAACTGAACTATAATTTAACACAAATATTTCGAAGTTTTGAAACATAAGTTAAAATATAACATAAAAAGTTAAAAAATAACTATTGAATTGTACCTTTGCCACAAAAGTTCCACCTTTTTTCAAAAGATGTGTAGTAATGTTTAAAGCCTAGAACAAAAATACAAAAATTAAAAAAAAAAAAAAAACTAGATTTAATCTTAAATTAAATAATTTTTAGTTAATGAAACGAAGAACCCTGTAAAATGGAAAAGGATGTGAGATAGAACTGAAATAGGAAAATATTTCAACTAGCATAAAACATTGTTACGAAGAGGGATATAACGACTTATCACTTTTAACATGTTTACAAGTGCAGGCCAATATCTACACTTGATAAATGCATAATATATTAATCTTAAATGCATACACATTATTTTAAAGAAGTAATATAAGAATAAATAAAATTATACAAATATGCAATAAATAAAAATATATAATTTACCGAAATAATTATTTAAAAAACTTACAGCCAATAAAAGTTGTGCTTGAATATATTCATCAAGATCATGCAAGCCCGTAACTTAAAAAGAAAGCACAGATAAGTATATTTTAATTTAAACACAATATATATTTTTGCATTAAAAAATATATAATCAGGTAAAGAATATGAAAATACATATTCAGTACTAATTTTGAAACGAATAAGTTAGTCAAACAAAATTTATCAATTAAATATTTGGTGAGTAGACATTTTTTTTTCTAGTTAGAATCATTGATTGAATATTTAACTTTAAACATTATTCAACTTCAGCATAAGTTTTCAATCTTTTTACACTAAATACTTGTTTATTAGAACAAAATGTCTAAAAAAAGAAAAAAAAACATACTAATTAATTATACGGCATTAAATTTTTTATGCATACATTTTATTTTCATAATTTTACAGTAGTTAAAAAATTAACACCTTTAATTGTTTGCATGAAAAAAGAGGGTCTTTCTTAAGACAATCTGGGAAGGTTATCAAAATGCATATTTCTAAGCAAAGCTCTCTTTCCTTAGCACATGCAGTTCTTGGCAGTTGAGCCTTAACAAATTATTCCCTGAATTCAGGATAAATAAGAAAACAGTTTAATTTAAAAAACGATATAAAAATATAATTTGCAATAGTTACAAACAAATTCCAAGATCTTTTTCTTATTTACAGTATATCCCTTTGAATATGTCACCTTTTCAAACCACTGAAATTTTAACAAAATCAGGAGATAGACTTATACACTGGTAATAAAGTCGGACATTCATTGATCATGGAATATCACTGCATTATAAACAATGAATTTACCATTTACCAATTACTGCACCAATTTACCATTTTCAAAAACTATTTTAATATGTTACACATAATTAATTTCGTCATTTGCTCGCATCGTGTTCTCTATATAAAGGATTTTATAAAAACAATTACATACAGAAAAAAAAATTAAGAAAAGTTAAATAAATTTATTTAGGAGTATTTAAAAAAACATAGCACAATGAAACTTTTAACACAAACCATGAAGCAAAAAATTTAAAAATCACAGAAATTAACTCTGTCAGATTCAATAACATTAGCATTGTCTTCATGTCGATCACACTCTACAATGGATTCCATTCCATTTCATCCTCAACTTCTGAGTCCCACAAAAAATTGCCTTTCTATCCAAAGAATTCCAAAATTCCACAATTTTTATAAGATATTACAATAACATTTGAATCCCCATTTTAGCATACGTGTAGTACAATTTCACACGCTGTCTATAAGGGTAAATGACGGGAGGTTATTTTAAGACAACTTTATTATATCTAGAGAGAACAATATAAAATAATTTTTAAATGAGAAAATTTCAAACGCCTAATTTTTCAGTTTTAGAAATTTGCATATTAGTTCTTTTAAAGGGTTTATTTATACACTAAAGGTATAAAAAATGTGCTAACTAGTAATGAAAAATAATGGGTCGACTTATAAACCGAGATATATGGTTTTTACAAACAATAATAATTTTATAACTGTATAACTGTTGAAATAAATATACCATCTGGAGCTCCATCACATACTACAAGATCAGCATTTTCACCTTTGAAGTAACTAATTATTTCTTCAGCTGTTGACACCTATTGCAAACATATTAGATTTTTTTAAGTGAAATATACTATTTTATATTCTTAATAATTACTAAAAAAACACATAGCATATTACCAGTTTAGATCCTTCCCTAAAGAGTTATTCTTTCAAATAATAAAAAAAAAAGAAAAGAAAAGGGAAAACACTGGTAATAATGATAATTCAAGCTGGTTGCACATTTCTAAAAATGTAATGACTTATTTTTACAGAATTAACACGAAATTTTACACCTAACATTTGGAATAAATGTATTTTAATAAGAGAAGATGTTTCCATAATAAATGAATTTTAATGAAATTAAAATTGAGGTTTTTCTAATTTAAATTGAATTACTTTACTTAAAGTTTGTTTTGTTTAAATTCATATAATGTGACTTATTTAAATTTCTATTTTAAGAAGTATAAAACATCTGACACATTTTAATTCAAAATTAAAGAGAACAGAATGAAAGATAAAGTTCTGAAATTCACAAAAAAGTCATTTAAAATCTTCTCCTGGTAAGCTCTCAAATTTTTAGTCACTTGAGATTTGGAGAAAAAAAATAATTTAACCAAGTATACACAGAAACACAAAATAAAATATGATAAAAAAATTACAATTTCTTTTTAAAATCAATAGCACAACGCTAAGTAGGAAAATATTTTTAACAATTAATTATTGGTAACCACTTTAAAAAATCTGTATAAATTGTAGCATAAAGAAATTAAAATCAATATTTAGATAGATAATGATTAACAAATCACAGTTATTAAATGTAACATAAATTGAATAGCTATAATATAGTGAAGAATATTTATGTATGAAGAGTACCACGTTTTCAGAAAAACCAATTAATAGTTTCAATAAATTTACCCATATTTTTTATAAATGAGATGTAATATTAATAATAATTATATTAGTACATAAAATAAGTATTCTGTATGATTTAATAAAATGTTTCTGATGACAAAAAAGAAACTTGCCTAAAGTTTTTTTCAGATTTTAATAGTTTTTGACACTTTTCAACAGGTTTTTGATGTGTCATGTCAAAAATCCAACATTGTTATGAGGATCCATTTTTACAAACTGATGTATGATCAGAATAAACAAAACTAAAACAAAATCATAAAAGATGTCAATATCAAATTTTTTTTACTAAAAAATAAAATGTTAAAATTTAAAAAAAAAAAGATTTTTAAAATAGGAGAAGTATTATTTATAAATTTATTTTATCCCTTGAAAATAAAGTTACGAATTTTAATAATATATCTTTTTGAAACCTAATTAATGCATCATATAAACATAATGATGTATAGCACAACATGTCAACATTAAAATACTCTTTTATCAATAAAGTAATCCATTGATCACAACTACCCAAAATGATAAAGTATGGAGACTATTCACTCTTCTTTCATTACAAGGGAATACAAGAAGTTTCATACTCGATCTGCAATAACATCAAATGAAACAGTGGGTTGCATAATCTTTTAAAAAATTTTGCTATCATATATTGTCATTGGAAACATTTCGTTATGAAAGCAGAAAAAGGTTTAACATCTATTCACTATATTGGAGTGAATGGTGCAGTAAGAAAATTCTAATTGATTTTAAAACAACATTTTGTCTATAGAATAGCATACAAGACTTAATGTTTTGCTCCTTATAAAAGAAAACTTGTTGTAATGAGAGTCCTAATAAAAAGCATAAATTGTTCAATAAACTCAAAGTTCATAAATATTACCTTTGTTATATCACCTTGTATTTGAATTACACCTGGTAAGGGGGCCATAGCTTGTAAGTCTACAGCAACAATCTTTATATCATCAGGGTCTTCAGCATTGCCTCTAAAACAAGCAAAGAATAATGAATTTTCTGCTGCCATAATTTACAGTAGTTAAAATTTTACAAATGCCTATTTCGGATGAGTATAGACTCCTCTTTCCTTGGGAGCAAAAATAAGTAAATCACAATCAAGCTTATCAAATTATGTTTCCTATCACATTTCATTTTCTTTCAAATTCAACTTTTTTGAAATTTACAAGAAGATTCCTGACAATATAAGATATATATATATATATATATATATATATATATATAGTATATATATAGTTTATATGTTTATACCTTTCCCTTATTGAAGCAAATTGCAATCACTCTCCTCCCAGGTGTTTACATGACATTTTGAATAGCTACATGGTAATAGAGTATGAAGTCTCATTTACAGATTTCTATCCTGCTTACTAGAAGCAACCCTACACTTTTTAATAACACCAAATTTAACAAAACTTTTTGCTTTTTTCTAAAAAAAAATTTACACACGTAATCTGTCAAAAAAAGTTTTAGTAAAAGTTAATGTTTAGTAAGTTTTCTTGCTGTATCTCAGATAGTTAAGCACACTAAAAGAGTTGAGAAGACAAGAAAAAAAACAAAAAAACATTGGTGATAAGACTAAACTATGAATGTTAATGAAGCTGATTATTATTGTCTATGGGCTGTCGTGCCACTGAGTTTAGTTTAGATTATTATTAGTGTTTGAAAAGAACACCTGAGGATGAGATTTGTTTTTCTTTAAAATATAAATATTTTCAATTAAAAATCTACTTAATTCTGCTCCTTTCTTTTCATTAAATGGAATTAATTAAATTTTTGCAATTCTTTTTTTATTATTTTGAATGGTTCCTTTTTTAATGTTATTTTTATCTGATTATCCATACTGCTAATTTTTCATATCATAAGGGGGAAAAAAAGAGAAAAATGTATCTTTATTTACGAAAGAGATATTTCAAATTATTCTCTGCTCACTTTTATTTTTTTAATAAATATATTGTATCATAATAAGCACTAATTACATTTTTAAATGCATGCCTATAAGAAAACACCTTTGCATGAAATTGATTCTTGGAGTCACTCTTGGCTTTGGCTTCGTTTTATCTTCTTAATTTGGCGAAAAGAAGAGCTATAACTCTTACTTTGTCTTCCAACACAGACTTTGTTAACAATTTTCTTACTTTAAGTAATAATTTTATAAAACTAATTCATTTTTTGAGTTACATTAATAGATTCATTTCTAATTGTCGGAAAGAGGAATGGATGTTTGGTCCCATCGCTAGAGAGGAACTTCAGCATGCAAAGATTTCTCTAGTAAAGTTAGTACAGGTAATTGTATTTAGGAAGGAGATAAATGCATTAAAAGTTAAAACAAAGCCGAACCCGAGAGTGGCGCCAACATTGATGTTAATTGCTAATTATCACTATTATCTATTAAGTATATTTTTAATTATTGTATAACACATGCTGCTTGATGTTTAATTTATTGATATATTGCTGCTTGATTTATTATCTGGAAAAATCTATTTTTCAGACTTGCCAAAGTCCCAATGATTCTGGATATAGGATTTTTCAGTGCATCATTTTAAATCATTACTAAATACAAATCATTAAATTATTTATAATTGACAAGCAAAAAGATATACAATAGGCTAATTATAAACTATATGCTTAAAGTATTGATGAAATAATAATCATGCTTAAGTATAATGAATTAAATAGAATCATACCTGAAAACAGGATAATAATTACATAAATGTATGAAGTTATGCATACCTTAGCTTTCGAGACAAAACTTGACTCCAACTTCCAGGAGCAGCACACAAGTCAACAACTTTTTTCACATCTAAAATCAAAAATAAAAATAGTTTACGTATTACTTTAGCAAACACAATATTCTCATTTAATATAGCATTTCCAGCATAATAAAAAAAATTATTTCTTTATCACTCAGTCAAAGTACAGTTGACAAACAATAAATTTTTGGCAAAAAAAGAAATTTTTCTTCTTCAAAATTTTAAATTTAGAATTGTTAGAAAAGGCAATATTTTTAAATAAAAAGCAATGTTGTGATTTCCATCAAGAATGAAAAAATGTTAACATATCATGAGACAATCTGTTAAACAAAGTGGCAAAGTGGTTAAACTTAAAAAGTCATTAAATTTTAAAGTACACCTCATTTTGAAGGAGATGCAAGAAACTTATTTAGGCCAGCTCCTAAGAAGTAGATTACAGAAATAATTAGGGGAAGGCTGGATATTATTTTCAGCTAAAAACATTATGGTTTAGCATCAATATGAATACCTGAAACCTGCCCCTTCTCAGAGGTGAGCTTCAGCCAAAATTTTGATTATATCAATGGAGAAAATATAAACAATACTATCTAGACAAGTAAGGTATTATTTCCATTGTATAATCAGAGAGATTACCGTATTGTGATTTGTGATAGAATAAACGCCATGTCCTAGCAACTTCCGGACAGTGGCCTGCGAGAAACTAAACAAAAATATCACAGAAAGGGGCCAACTCAAAGGGTATAACTCGCAGCTGCCCACAGACAAACATCTACATGTTTTGTTTTATTAAAAGAATTTTTCCATTTGAAATCAATCTGGAGTCATGGCAGATCATGATAAGTAAATCTCCCCGTATATTCTTATACTAACACCAAAACTAAGTTGATTAGATAATAGTTAAAAAGTTATAAGGAATTCAGAAACAACAGATTGTAAAAAAAGTACAGCTGTTAATTAGACCTGTTTACTTGCAAATCATACCATAACTTTCAAAAAATTTTTTAGTTTCCCTTAATTATTTATATATCAAGCTTATCTTGTAACAGTAAGGTGTAGATCCATTCACAGCAGATATAGAAGCAATGAATATTACATACAAAATGTACAAAAAATATTTTGGGCAAAGATGAGTTGGATGTAATATTTCTCATGCTGTATAAATTTGAATTTAACCCTGAAATAACTAAGTAAAGTGTTTAATTAGCTAAAGATAATAAAAAAAAATTAATTAGATTAATAAATTGTATTAATATTATATATAAAAATTATATTTTGAAAAAAACATGTGAATGACCATATTACTCCATAAGTGGCCAGGAATTACCCCATCCCTGGGTATCCTGGTCACTAATTAACTATTTTTCAAATTACTCAGGAGTGATTGTGAGCCCAAGTCAAAATTCCGGAAAATTTCTTAAGTTAAAAAAAAAAAAAACGCAGTTTAAATGGAAAAAATTTTAAACAAGTTTTTTTTTCTTTTTCTCAATCTTTCTTAGTTTACTTAAAATATATTTAAAATTTTACACATACTTATACCATTTACACATACCTATGATAACCTGGAGAAGTAATTGAAATTTACAAATATGAGTTTCTTTCCTGAGTTTATGATTATAAAAACTATATACTGATAAAAAATTCATATTAATCTTGAATATAAAGCTTATGAAGTATCTGGCTCTCCCTTACAAACAAACAAAATAAACTGTGTTTTTAAGTTCCACCTTTCAAAATTTGATTTCCAGAAACTTTTGTGATCAATGATTTTTTGAAACGTCTGGACCTTCAATCACCGGATCACGGTTAGCGAAAAATTCGGAAATCCGGATTTTTTCCGGAGCACAATCGAAAATAAATATTCTGTAATAATTGAATATTGATGCTTTTTGACCAGGAATTATCCCAGGTGACTCTATTCATTACTATATTAACAGCTATCACCGCAATTAATTAAGCTTCATTGGCATAAATAATAGAAATTGATATATACAGGCACATTTAAAATAAAATAAGAAATACATGACTTTTAGTACATAATAATGAAAAAAATTATTTGTCAGGACTTCTCTGAAATTTAAATTTTATTCAATAGTGTTTATTTTATAAGAAATTTTAAAGAGAAACCTTTGAATAAACCAAATTCTTCATTAATTTGCAACAATTTGAATGCACTTCTTGCACGCCAACCTTCTTCTTTTGCAAGGCGGTAATACACATCTCGTTTATCTTTGGAGGAGCGACCCATTGATATAATTCTTCAGTAATTTAAAATTTTGCGAAATACATACAAGTCCGAAGTAAACAGCGAGCCCAAAATGCAATTGTAAATGTAAACAAAAGGTAAGTGGTTGCGCGTGCACTGTAATCAACTTTTTCGCTGTTTTCAATAGTTACCATTGAATTATAGTGCTAAGTTTAAAACTTAACGAACGCAACATTATTTTTCAGTGTTTTCGTTCTCATATTTTGAACACAATTCATTTACAAATTGCCAGATTTTATGAACAAAACATAGCATTCATGAAAATGGTGAGAAAAAAAATGAATATTAAAAACATGCATAAAAAATAACTACAATTTTCAATTTAATTTTCGTAATCAGTTCTTATAATTCTTGAGTCAAAATTATAGAACAATTTCGTTATTTAAGAATTCTGCTCATCACGGAAGTATGAAGAAGTGAAGTAATGATGATTCTGAAAAATAACCGTTTTTAATTTGAAGAACTTTGGAATTAGGTTTGTTTTACTGTAATTTGTTTCTGGTAAATAACTAGAGGATTATAAATATCTTTTTGTTTTTAAAATGGCTTGTGCTTCTGACAAAAGTACTGAAGTTATTACTCCTGAACATGCCGTCCTTATACCGCCTGTTCCTTCAGCTACTTCAATTTTAGCTTATGTCGAAGCCGTAGCAACTGTCATTGGATCTACTCACATTCATAGTGTGTATGAAGATCAAGACTGCATAAAAGTTTATCTAAACGACAAGAAATTTGTTGATTTTCTTGTTAATACTGGAATATCTGTTTTAGGACGTCGAGTGAATGTAGATTATGCCATCCCTCGCGCCGATAAAGTTACGTTGAAAAATGTAGACCCCATTATTCCTGATAATATATTAATGAGATTTTTGTGCTTCTATGGCACTCCTGTTTCCTCATTGATTCATGAAAAAATTGCTTCTAACTTAGAGTATTCTCATATCGAATGTGGCACCAGAAAAATATACATGAACTTGTTTAGTGACAAGAAACCCCCATCAAAAGTGAGTATTCAATATCAAGATGTTTGCTATCGTTTTGAAATGTCCGTAGAGAGATATGACAAACGAATTATGGAAATAGATTCCAGCACTACTGAAGATGCTAATGAAGAAGAGACTGCAGATGAGGCTCAAGAAATTGAGTCTGTTGTCAGTTTGAAGCCTAATGTTGAAGAGTTAGCAACAAATGGGACTAAAAAAAAGTCACCCTTTCGCAACCCTACTCCTGCCCAAGCTGCATATCGAGGGAGAGGTAATAAACGTAAAAATCTGGAAAATTCTGTGACCTATGCTGCGAGAAGAATAAAAAGTAGAGCTGCCAAAGGTTGGTACAAAGCAAAAGATGCATCTTCAACCCGTGGGCTCGGCAAAAAAATTTCTCGGGGTGGTGGGCGAGGTAGAGGTGGTAATACTAGGGGCCGTGGACGTGGTTCAAGAGCTGGTAATACCAGTACGCCTATATCTGATATTAACATGGAAGTGTTAAATGGTGATAATGCAGAGAATGAAACTGCGTTGATAAATCAGGCATCCCCAGTACAAAGTACTCCACCCACTGTGAAACGTACTACCCGCAATATAAGCCAATTTCCATTGAGCACTGATGAACTTAAAAAGTTGACATTTCAAGCACGGTGTAATCGTGCTCCGATACATCTTGCCAGAGAATTCTTGGCCAGAAAAAATGCTCCTAATGCTATTGAGGAATTATTGTCCCAATTAATGGAATATCACGATGCTGTTAAAGTTCAGTCTCTCCGACTGAGAATCCGTCGATTAGTCTCCACTCTTCGAAGTACAATGCATGATCCGCCAGCTAATTCTTAAGAATAAAGTACAATGAACATTCTTGATAATAAAAACCTTTTGAAAGATTGGTTTTATATTTATGAATTTTTTTTTTCATTCTTTAAATTTGTTCTATGTGGATATTCATGCGATTTTTTATAATATGGTAATGCACATTTAACTGTATGAAAAAAAAAAAAACTTATTGATTGTAATTTAAAAATATCTATCGCTTAGTTAAATTGTGACAGCTTAACAAGTTAGCTTTTAGCTAATTTATGTACATAACTAAATGATTAATATTCTCCCATTTGAACTACCAGATAAATCTATATTGTTATGATTTTAGTAAAGATGTAGGATATATAATAGATACTGGCCTTAGATACTGTTTCTAAAAGGCTTATACTGAAACAATATATTCTGAACTTTCATAAATTGTCATTTGGCTTCAGGTGAAATAGGTTAAGAATTTTCATAATGGGTAGAGATATTGCTTGTTCTGTTTCAATGATTGCTATTATTATTTTTAACTATATCACAATGTGTGATTTGAGCAGCCTGTTTCTTCACCTATTTGTCTCTTGAATTGAAACCTTGTGCAATTTTTTCCTGTTTTTGCTTGTAAGGCTGTTGATTTTGTAATATTTGCATTAATATTTTATCTATTGTAATGTAAAGAATAGTATTTTTCAAAAATACTTTTATTTGTTTACAGAAAATCAAAAGTTTGTTTATTATTGACTGCTTCAGTGGTGTAGTAGTTATATGCAAATTTTGAAATGCATTTACTTTTGTTAAAATATGTTCATAAAATAAGCAATTCTAAAAAACATTAAAGTAGCTTTAAACTAGCAGAAGTAACTTTAATTTTGATTAATTTGTTAAGCACCAGTTGTATTTTGCAGTTCATCTATATTGTAAATTTTGATTTTTTAAGTTTGTTCATTTTATTCCACTCTGAAATTGGCCTACACCACTGGATAGCTGCACAATATGATGATCTACTTTTTTCTGTAGTGAACTTAAGATAAATGATTTATACATTATGATCATTGTTGAAAGTTTTAAATGTTTCTAGAGTAGTTTCATATTTTCAAGTTTAAAAATAAAAGCATTTAAATTTTTGTGTGTGATTGTTTGTCTACTGATAGATCATGTATAAACTAAATAGTTTTTTATTATTTCCATAGTCAATTTCATCTTATTAACTGGTAAAACTGGTGGTAGCTAATTACTTATGTATTATCCTGCTGCCCAGTTTTTCCCCAATGGTTCAAGTTTAAATCTCACATTTTTGTATTTCATTTTTTGCAATAAGTTGTGTCTGTATTTTGTCTATTTTTGTATCATGTACTATATTATAGAGTTCTCCCTAAGAATGAAAAAAGGTAGTGAGCTTTTTCTGGGAAAAGGGCACTTTGAAGCTTTTACTCACTTAACACCTTTAAAATTTATCATTAACGTGTGTAATAGTATAACTGAATTTGATTCTGACAATTTCCAAAAAAAAAGTAATTTAAAAAAGTAATTGTAAAATTTAAAATCACTTAATATATACCTCTCAAAGAAAAGAAATTTATTAAAATTTTACCAGTTGAGAATAATCCTGACAAAATATATTTGTTATAGTAATCAGAATTAAACCTATAAACATAGATAATTTTACCAATGTGCAATTATTATTTAAACAGTGAATTAGTGTTTTTGGAATATGAATAAAAAGGCAGTGTTTTTAAGGGATGATTGCTTATTTGTACAAACAGAGCGTGTCAAAGAGCAGGCAGGGCAGATTGCTTTTCTAAAAGTGCTTAGGGAGAAAACTGTCTTATAATAAATTTGAAAAATACCAAAATTGCTCTTGTGCAATGTTGGCGAAACTGGTCGACGAGATACCTTGTTTACAATATGTTTATGATTTAGATTTCCTTAGCATTTAAAATTATTTAATTTTAATGGCAAAATAAAATTTGTTGTATAGTTTAGAATAAAGAAAACATATAAGATTGGTGCAATGTAGTATTCATAATTTTAACATTAACTTTATATATTGATTAATAAAAAATTAGGCTAATTTTTCAAAGAAAAATTTTATTCATATTCTTTCTACTTGTCCTACTTAAGAAATGTGATAATCTTGAAGCTGTAGCTTCTACGGTCCAATATTTTCTCTTGAATATACCAATGTCAAGTCAATAATGTTTAGAAAGTTTTATAAGTAGAGAAGGTTGATTTAATTAATTATTTAGTTAATATAACTATAAAATTTTTGGTTTTACTGATAGGGTCATTGTTTTATTTTATTTTTAGAAGGAAGCAATATAAAGATTATTTTTAATAGTACTATAGTTTAAAAAAATTTGTCTTTCTAAACAGATTTAAAAACGTTAGTAAATAATGGCTTTTAATATTTTTTCTTGCCTCTCCCTAATTATTTTTTTTTTTTTTTTTCAAGCTAATGTTCTTAGATTTGGTGCCTTTTAAAGTTATCTCTATTGCATAAAGTGAAATCAAACATGAAAACGAACTTGCATATAAATACAAATTACTTTTTATAAATGTGTTTATTGTGAACATGATACAAATGTAAGCTTAAAACTATTTTATCAAACTTTTAAAATGTTATAAAGCTGTTTTGCCATTTAGCTTTTAAAAAAAATTTATTCTTGCAAACATCCATAGATATCTTGTTATTGCAAAATTTTCATTCTCATATTGCATATCATAAATCAAAAGATTTGTCATGATGAAATATGTGTGACAATTTTGTAATATTTGTCTAGTTATTCATTGCATTACATATTAGTGTTGTCTTGTTAAATCTGTTTTGTATGTTTACTATATTTCAGATTTTGCTTCATTCCTATTGTTTCATGTGTGCACTTCTTTAGAATACATGGGGTTTTTGTCTATTATAATTATAAAATTATTTGTTTCACTTTTTTGTAAGATATTTTGTTTAAAGTAACATATTTATGTTAACATTCAAGTTGTAATATTATCAGTAGCTTTGTTTCGAACGAAAGTGCCTTTTGTATTTTTTTGTGTGTGGAATAAATATATGATCTGTTTTAGGTTTTTGTTGTTATTTGTAACTTAATTTAAAATTAAATCATCAAATTTCTTTAGATGTTCTATAGAAAGTTGTTTTGAAGGTCTTGAAGAAAAATTTATTTTAGTATTTCAGTTTTGAATACCATAGACTTTGATCTTGTTACATTGAAGTGTAATTCAAATTGAATTACTAAAAAATTAAATTAATTTAAATCAATGTTAATTTCTAAATTATCTTTGCACTAACAGCTCATCTCTGAAAGCTCTAGCTACCATTCTCTGCAAATTGTTATTCATTAATTCATTAGAGCCTGTTTTCTATGGGGATACTCTCATAACGTGCAAAAATTCACCGATGCTGATTCGAAGATGTGAACAAGAACTTGATTGAAGAGTTTTTCAATGGTAAACATATATAACCAATGAAGTTTTCATTAGAATTTCGGAATTCACATTAGCAAATTTTCGTATGTACGCAGTGAGAACTCTCCTCCAGGCCGTCATTTGTATGTGATTTTTTGCAAGCACCGAAGATGATCCCTGGGATCGACGTTTTCTGAAGATTTTTGGCAGTTTCGTTATAAATCGAGACAGACTCTGTCCATTTTGTAAAAGCGGCTAAGTAAAATTAAAGACATAAACATGATGTAAAGACTTAATATTCTGTTTGCTTTCTAAGGATTAATAAAAACTTTTATTTTAGCTATCAATATTTTGGGGTTGCCATCCCAAAGTAAGAACTGATTGCTGATGCTTGATTTTGTTGAAAAGGAGAGGAAATCCTTCATCAAGGTTGATATGCTACTTTAAAAATCGGGATAAGTCAAAGAATTTGGAAAATGTCCAAAAAATCAGAGGAAGTTTAACATTTGAGCCCAAATATGGAAAAGTCTGGGATTAGGTTTAGTGAGGTCCATGCGTGACCATCTTTGCACCAACATTTCCCGTAAACACATTTTCTATGCAGGAGTTTTGTTTTCGTCCATTTGTCATTTAGTCAAATTTCAGAGAACTAGCATGAATTATTAGTATGAATTAAGAAATTTATTGGGATAAATAGTGTTTTATAATCTCTTACAAATCATTAGGATTGTGCAGCTCTAGTGCGACGTAAAGTAACAACAACAACAAATCATTAGTTTTTTTTAAATTGTAAATTACTCTAATTTACAATATTATTATAAAAATTAATATAAAAGTTTTTTATTGTGAAATTCTTTAATTATCACCAAGACTTGATAAATGATTTAAATTAAACTTGTTAAGAACTCTGGGGTTCTGTTCCACATGGAGTCCCGCAGTGGACTGATCGTTAAGACACGGTTCCCAGCCGATCACCGAAGTCAAGCATCACTGGCTGCGGTCAGTGTGCGGGTGGGTGACCACTTGGATCAGTCTGCGTATGGACCGAGGGTGTGCGGTATTGGTCCTCGTTAAGCTGTGCTACCGTAAAGTACTCGACTTCGCGTGCAGGTCGTTGGGCTACCGAAGCGGAGGTGCCATCCCCTCTGCAGAGGATCAAAATTGTGATGGCATGTCTTCGGATCATCCTCAGGGATGTTTCCCAGACCGTCCCCAATAGCCCATTGCGCAGCTCTAGTGCGACATAAATGAACTACCACCACTGTTCCACATGGAAATTAGAAAGCAATACTATTATAATATCTTGGGTTTGATCCACAATCCAGGTTTTAATTTTAGGCCCCATTTTTTCGGAAAGAGGAAATTTTCTTCATAAAGAACATTAAGTTTTTTTGTAAACTCATGTGTTCACGGGTCACTTTTTTGTGTCCTTCTTACGGTTTTTCACATTAATTTCTACATATTTAATACGTTACAATATGCGAGTTTTGAATTTGAGCCGTCTCTTTCTTTTATAATGTATGAAGTTTGTTCCGTGATAAAAATTTCCATGTTACTTGATGTCATAAGATTCAGAAAATTATGGAATATTAAGTTTAAATAGACTAAATTTAATATAGCGATTTCGCATGCATTAGGTTTTAACTCTAATAAAAAGATAAGATACATATTTCTTTCCTGCTTATTTACAAATATTTCTCGATGTGTTTTGGATGTTCCTTCTCGAAAAAGAAGCGATTTAATTTTTAGCTTGTATAAGAAAGAATATCAAAAATATTTTTATTTTTTATATTTAATAAGCCTTAATAAAACTTGCTACACTGAAGAAATCTCCAGAGCAACTGATGATCCTGTTGCTCTAGTCTAACAACGCGCGAAATGACTATCATTCAAAAGATAGAAGAGCAGGTGCACAAATGTTTTCAGTTCAAAAATGTTGTATTAATTTATTGCATTAGATAAAATTAGGCATAATTTTATTACATTTAGATTATTTGTAGTTTGAAGGCATTTCTAGCTTCATATATTATTTCACCGGAAATAATTAAAAAGGTAAAAAAAAGTCCTAAGCAGTGAGGATGTAGAAAGAAAAGGAACGATAAGGTGATATGTATTGTTATTTCAGTATTAATTTTATTTGTCCCGCAGTGGACTGATCGTTAAGACACGGTTCCCAGCAGATCACCGAAGTCAAGCATCACTGGCTACGGTCAGTGTGCGGGTGGGTGACCACTTTGATCAGTCTGTGTAGGGACCGAGGGTGTGCGGTATTGGTCCTCGTTAAACTGTGCTACCGTAAAGTGCTCGACTTCGCGCGCAGGTCGTCGGGCTACCGAAGCGGGGGTGCCATCCCTTCCGCAGAGGATCAAAATTGTGATGGCATGTCTTCGGATCATCCTCCGGGATGTTTCCCAGACCGTCGCCAATAGCCCATTGTGCAGCTTTAGTGCGACGTAAAGTAACAACAACAACAACAACATTAATTTTATTTATGTTGTTCAGTCCCTTGTTTCGCTTTTTTAATCGAAAAGGGCTGAAAGTAATAAATAGTATAGAGGTACCCAAATTGTTGAAGAGGAAACAAAAGAAGTTAAAGCATTTATTTTGCATTCTGCCGTCAGATGTCAGAGTTAACCTTGTTAAAATTTATATTACTAAAAAAGCTAAAAGCTAAGTGCATGAATCAAGTATAAGGAAAGAAAATAATATGCTATACCAATTTTAACATTTTTAAAAGGTTTTGTTATATTTTTTCTAAATTTTTATGAACTAAGTTATTTAGTTTGTGTAGTTGTATTTAAATCTTTGAATATTTGATTTAAACTATGTTTTAACACATTTTCATTAATTAAGAATTCTGTATTGACACAGCGAATTGTATGTCATTTCTTAACGATTGCTGTTTATTGCTGTTTGCTGATAAATTGCTACATTGCAATTTATAAGCATTCATTCTGTAAAAAATTATTTTTTGACTTTGAATGTGAATACTACCAAATTATTATGAGGAAAAATTTGGTTGGTTTTCTTGTATATAGCAAAAATAGAAACTAAACAAGTAGCTTATGTAATTTAACTTGAATTTGTCTGAAGCTGATGGGTAAAGTGGAGCTTCATTTGCTATAAAAACTTCCATATCTCTTCAAAATTAAAAAAATTGTTAGGGAATATTTCTGTATCGTGATCTGTCGCTCCAACTACAATAGCTAAAGTGCCAAATTGAACTTGCAATTTCTTTTATTTTTAAAAAAGTGTTTTACCAGATTGTGTTTACGAAAAATACCCTTGAAATTGATCTCCTTTAGGGATGTTTGTATGTTATTTTGGGGTTATTTTAGTTTCTCGTGGGGCCGTTGCTTGGCTTAGCCATCATGCTACTGTAGATCACGATACAGAAATCTTCCCAAATATTAAATTAATAACATAAATTAACATTACTTATAATTATGAAAATGATAATAAGTTAGAAACAAAACATTAATAAATTTGACTAATATTTTCTTAATTAGATTAAAAATTGGTTAAATATGTGAAAATTCATGCGTGCCTTACATGCATAAAGTTATAAAATTAAATACAAAAATAAAATAGCTTGTCTGAGGGTAGCTACCAGTTATACCCTTTGAGTTAATCACCTTCTGTGATTTTTTTAGTTTCGTGCAGGCAGCTCCCTGGGAGTTGCCAATACTTGCCTATTATTCTGCTGTTAAGCACGACAAGGAAATCTTCCTTTTACTGTTGAAATAAGGGCAATAGTAACTTTAGGAGAGAAAATTATTGGAAATAAATTTTTTGTAATATAGCATGGGTAAACATTTTTATTATATTACCAAAATTTTGTTACTTTTAACCATTTACTTTGAATGTTGTGTATTTTAGGTTTAAAATGAACACTGAAATTGAAAATGAATCTCTCGATGATTTACAGAATCTTTCAAGAGAAGTATGCCAAATCATTTATCTTTCACACATTATTATTATTGCCATTTCCCATATATTATAATTGTAATTTTTCAGACATTTTCTTTTATTCTTTTGATTATATAATATATGATTATTCAAGCTTTTTGAAGTATAATGAGTTTTTTCATTATTATTTTAGAAATAATCAGAATTAAATTTCTACTCCAGTTTCAATTTAAAATGTTATTTCGAATTTTATTATAGTGTAGTATAATAATGTATTATAATTATTAAATTCTTAAAGTTCAGAAGAATTGACTTATTTTTTCTAATGACAAGAGTTCCTTGAGTTCAAATTTCTTCAGATAAGGCAAGAATAAGTTCCAAAACCCTGAGATGCCCTGTTTACTTTTTTGTGTGTGCTTCTTCTCTCATTAGGTTATTAATTATTCAATATTTTTACCTCCGAGTTGGGTGTAATATTGTCACCCTAACTTAAACTCCTCATTCAGTTGAACTCTATTGATTAAAGTAAAGTGGTTTTTGAAGTCCTCTATTATTTGTGAATAAGCATCATTAACTCACTAGTTTCTATTAAAATACACATAAACAATTTATTCTGATGATTATACAAATAAAGGTTTTTTTAGCTTGGTTTTTACCTTGTGTCTTTCAAACTTACTTTCCTTGATAGAGATAATTTACAAACAAGTTGAAAATTGGAGCATGAATATAAATTTTTTTATAAAGTTGTATTTTTATTGTTGCATGTTGCAGTAACAATGTGTACATAACATTTGTCTAAAAATAATTTACACAGCCGCTACAGTTTCTGTTATTTTACTATTTTTCAACATTTTGCTCTTTTTATGCTTTTTTTCTTTATTGGTTTAATGCTTACATGCAAAATGCTTCGTTTGATATTACTGAAATTTCTTTATTATGAAATAAGTAAGTTTCTCTCTCTCTTTATATATAGAAATATATTGAAGAATTGTATGAAAGAATTGTATGTTTCAATTTGCAAACAGGGTACCTCTTGCTAGTATGAATTTCGATTGCAGTTTTTTGAATTTTTTTATTTGGAGTGAAAATTACTTCTATAACAGAAATAATTTTAAATTCCTGTAAGAACTCAGAACAGAATATCAGTTAGTGTCTGTTTGTAAAGTTGGTAACATAAGTTATTTTAATTTAAAGTAAAAGAAAATCAGCATGACGTTTGGCAGTTAGGTAAAAAGGTTTAACTAAGGTTAACTTTAGGTCAGTTAAATAACCTTTTAACTCATTTGTTCCTTGAGAAAATTTTTCGAAAATTTTCCTGCGAGGCACTATATCTCCATTGCCTAACTTGTGAGAAAATTTCTATGTGGGAAAGTTTTTCTTTATAAATTAAGCAAGGGATAAGTATTAATAAAAATAATGTTATTTACATATACAATATTTTTTTTTTGTAAAATTAGGAATTGATATTATTAGTGAAGAAGTTAAGAAAAAATAATTCTGGAGAAAGTACCTCAATTTTTGAAAATTTGTTCAAAAAAGTACAGTAGCACCATTGGCTTATTTGTGGGAAAACTGATTTTCTGTGTGGATAAGTTTTTTCTTTACAAACTAAATGAGTGATAATAAAAATAAATTTTCTAAACTTTTATTTTTTTTATAATTAGGAATTGATATTATTAGTGAAAAAGTTAAGAAAAAATAATTCTGGAAAAAGTACCCCATCAGAGAAGAATTCTAAAACAAGCTTTAATTTTAATAAGTAAGTACAAAGTTTTTTGGTTTAATTTTTTTTAAAAATTTATGAATGACTGGGCATGTTATCCTGTGCATTTTCATAAAATATATGAAATCAAGCAATTTTTTATGTTTTGGAAGTGATTGATCTAGTTAACCCATTTTAGGCCAAGTATAAAAATTTTATAAAATGTGATGCTATTTTAATTGAAATATGCTTGCTTTACATTCATTACGACACAAAAAAATTTCTTGTTTGCAAAATTATATTTTATTTAAGAAATAAAATGGTACATATCAGCACCATTCTCTAAATCAATGAGCAAGCCATTTAGTTAAACGCTTGTTCTTTTTTACAAAATTTGTTTTTTATTTTATTCACTGGCTTGCAACTTTAATATATTATAAAAGCATATGATAAATTACAAAAGGAATAATTATAAATTTTCAAAAAATTTCATTTGTCAATAACCGTTTTAAGTTAATAAACTAGAGTAGTTTAAAAATTTCTCAACAGAAAGTGTTTACTCTAATTGAATTACTAATATTTTATAAATGTCTTGAGAGCCCTTGACAATTGCAGAAAAATAAAATTAGTGAAAAATATTCGTCACAGTGTTAATAAAAAAAAATATTTATTGAAATGGTGCGTTTGCGCACCTCTGGCTGAAAATTGGTTAAAAATGCAGCTGAAATTTTTAAAAAAATAATAAAGTTAAAAAGAGATTGAAAAAGTAATATTTTCGTAAATTAATTTAGTAATTATAGTATTAGTTATACAGGACTTAAAAATTTTATGTTCAGATATTTATGCTTTATCGATACATTTAAGCAAAAATAATAATTTCAAATATTGCAGAAGTCTCAATATTATTTTTGTTTAAAATTAAAATTATAAAAAGTTTTATAAAATATGACTTTTTGTGAAAGGTTTCTTCTTTCAAAATTTTATTTGAAATAATATATTTACTTCGTGTTCTAATTTTCAAAAGTATTTTAAGGAAATTATTCAGTGATGACGAAGTAAAGAATAAATAAAAAAGGACGTGAGTATTATATGTTACTCAAAACTATATCTCAACAAAACTGAATACTCAAAAAGAGAAACTGATTTTCTAGTTCCTGTATCCTACAAAATTTTGCTACTACTTTCTATTTACCTACAGATTTATCTATTCTTCTTTTTATTTGTCTATAGATTAGATTTTTAGTTAATGTGTTCTGTACTTTCTTTTAAAAAAAATAATGTTTTACTGAAACTATTTAATAAAAACTAAATTTTGCTCTGAGCTTTATAATTTTCTTAATTGAATCCTTTTTTTAAATGTTTAAATTCCAGACTTTCATGAATCAAAACTTAGAATTAATTTTACCGCAATCTAAAATTTAAAGTTAGAATTAAGTTCTGCAATCTAAAATTTAAATTTTAAAATCTTTGCTAAAGCGTGCTAAAGACATTTTTACATAAGTGTGACTCTTTCGCAATTTTGATAATTTTTCTGTTTGTAGGATTATTATCTTTTTTAATATTTGAAATTACGACGGAATCCATTAAGCCATATTCACGCAATTTAAATGTCAAACATCGATTTTCATATTTACCTGATTTAAAAGCTTATTGTGAATCATATTCACACGATTTAAAAATCGTACATCTTCATTCGTATTCATGGGATTTAGAAATCCAATATCGCAATTTGTATTTACATGTTTTTGAAATCAATATCTCGATTTGTATTCTCGTGATATTAAAATCCAACGTCATTTTTTGTATTCAATATATTAGAAAATCATGTATCCCGATTCGTATTTACGCAATTTAAAAATTCAATATTGCAATTTCGATTTTTGCATTATTAAATCCAATATCACAATTCATATTAATACGATTTTAAACAGAATATCACGATTTGTATTTTCGCATTCTTATAATCCAATATCGGGATTCTCTTATGAACTAAGTTTTTTCTTAAATTAGTTACTGTGAAAGTGTTATATTCTTTATTGGTATGTAATTTAATTATGAATCTTAGTTTAAAAAGTTATATTAAATATGAATAGTATATAAATTGATATTTTATTATCAAGTTTTTGCACATAAAATTTTCAGGGTTTTTCACTTTTCGTCACAATCACCCTTAATAAAGATAACTTTGTCTAAAAATAAAGACATTTTGATGAAACTTAAAAAAATGTGCGTAGAATCTTCGATAGCAGTTTAGGTAGTTTTCTGTATCTTTGCCAAAAAATCAAATGCCAAATATTTTATATTTTTATTCATAATTCGTTATTTGACAGCATGCTGTAGCTCAACTTTATTACCATATTTTTTTATCTAAGTATAATTAATTAATATTTTTTTTTCATTAGATATAAAAAGCGTCATATTGCTCTGAAGTTTCTTTACCTTGGTTGGGATTATTCAGGATTTGCTGCACAGGTTACTACTGATAAAACTATTGAACATCATTTATTTCAAGCCCTAATGAAAACAAAACTAATAGAAGCTAGAGAAGTATCTAATTATCATCGATGTGGTCGAACAGATAAAGGAGTATCAGCTTTTTCTCAGGTTAGAAGTTTTTCTCACCCAATAATAATGCCTTATTATTTTTTTTCTTTAGAAACAGAAGATGTCGAAATTATAGCATTCTTCTCAATTATTACATTTTTTTGGCAATGTTTCTTTCTTTGTTGCTATTTTTCTGAGTATTTGTAATAATTTGTGTTGATGTCATGTATAGTTTTTATATTGCATCAGTAAGTAAATATTATTGTATAGTTATTTATCATTATAGTTGCCTTGATGTTTTGCCACAATATCTGGAAGCCTACCTATTATTGTAATATTTTTTTTTCCCTGTATAATATAGTTTACTAAATCAGATCTACTTATTAATAAAATCTGACGTATAATTAACCGAATATTATTGCTTATTTAATATTAAATGTTGGATTATTAGTTAAGTCTATAAGTGTTAATTTGTTTATTATGTGATTTATATTTGTTTTGCAGATTTAATGACTAAATTAGCAGTTTTGACTTACAATATTAGTGTTTTATACTGTTTAACTTTAAATAACTAAACATTTTAAATCAGTAACTGATTTTTGTCAATATGGGGATCTTGAAATTTAATCATTATACTTTAATGACTTCAAAGATTGTAATCCTTTAATTTTAATATTTATCTATTATATGATAAAAATTTAAGAATATTTCTTTTCAGAAAATATAAACTTTTTCTTTTCATGAGTTGGTTGATTAGTTGCAGAGTAACACTTATCTAAGTTTTCTAGGATTATCACGTTTTCTAGAATATTCTGAGGCAATAAAAGCAACAATGTTACTAATGGTCTTTTATTATTCTGTAATAAGCAAAGAAGCTATAAAAGCAATTTTTATAATTATAACAATTTCAATTTTTAATTAAACTTTGGGATAAGGTGTAAAAATGTAAATTATATTTATTTTTTTATAGCTGTTAAACTTCATTCTATTCAGAGTTGCAATTGTTGTCTAATTAATTTTTTTTATCTTTGTCTTTTCATATTTACATTTTTCAAAAGCTCATTCACTGAGTAGCATAGTTTCAAAATCTGTGAATGAGTTAAATATAATATAAACTTTGTTTTCATTCTGCTTCATTATGATCCTGCTATTTTTTCAATTTTTTATTCATTTAATATTTTAAATTTTAATAGCAATCTCTTGTTTGCACGATTATTAGTATGAGACTTTGTTATTTCATCTGAAAAGAAGCTTAAATGTTTTCCATATGGACAAATAATATGATTTTCTGTGGTGTCTGAAATTGCCACAAACAATGCTGGAGTGCTGTATCCAAGTCCGATTTATTTGTAACTTTCCTTTGCAATTAACTTATACTAGTCATTAACTTTTTTAAAGGAAATAATGTCTCAAGTAAATCAAGTTTCTTTTCTAACTAATCTAATAAATTGAAAGTTCTACTGAAATTCAGTTTTAGTTTGATAATGGGATATTTCCCTACTGAATACTTAAATGATTATTAGATTTTTGTTATATTCCTAATTTTTTTATTAATAATAAGTTTGTTCATTTAGGTTATCTCTCTAGATGTTAGGAGTAATTTAAAGGATGGCAAAGGTGTTATTACTCCAGAAAATTTTATGGAAAGTGAGGCCAAATGTAAGCAAAGTAAAGCTTTTAGGATACTTTTTTTTACAAATGATTTTGTTCCTTTCAATGTAGATAATTTATATCTAAATATGTACTTTTTTTTACTATCTAGGTGAATTTTAAAAAAAAACAAACATCTTTTTTTAAAAATGGGACTGTTTACACATTCTTATTTTTTAATAAAAGTGAACCCAAAAACCAATAGAGGTAGTTTAAAACAAGCAAGCAAGTGATAAAGTGTGTGCTCATGAGCTCCTTGAACTATATTAAATTTAGCACTAAGTGTATCTCTAAACTCACATTAATATGAACTGAAATTAAATAATCTATTTTCCTCTAATTGTAAATTTCTACGAAAAATAATAATTATATTTGAAAATAATTCCATTATATATATATATATATTACTTCTTTAATTGTATAAATTTTTATACTTTTCAAAAAAATTATGCATTGTATGTTTGTTTAGATAAAAAATTACTCAATAGTAAAGTTGATACTAATTTTTTTACAATTTGAATTATAGTGATATTCAATACCTTTTTTAGAAAGGGCTAGAGAAAAATTATTTTCGCTTTTAAGGGCCACTATAAATAAATTTTTTTTTTTGTTGGTTATAATTTAGTTATTCCTGTGTATAATAATAATAATAATGTTGTGTTGTAAAAATTAAAAGATGAAGTATGTGTATAGTATTTTTGATTTGAGAAGTTGTGAACTTAATCTTTGATAGATTTAAATTATAGCAGGTGTTCAGCTTTCTCTGTTTAAATATTAATTTAATTTTTCTTTTTTTAGCGATATAAATTATAATTATGTCTTTAATTTTTTTAAAATAAATCTATTAACTACTATTGTTTTGATCATAATTTTGTAAAAAAAAATTGCTTAAAAAACTATTAAGTCAGAAAATTCCAATCTTTTGACACTTTGATTAATAGTTATTCATTTTAAAATTAATTTCACTGTTATATATTTAAAATCTATTTTTGAAATAATTTTTTATCCAAGGTATTACATTTACTACCGTTGTAAATTTATTTTCGAGAGAAATACTTAAATTTGTAAGTAATATTTTCTGTTTTTATGGGAAATTTATTATCTCATAATATTATGTGCCTGGTATAATTAATTTCTATTTCTGAATTGTTCTTTAAGCTTTCTCATTATGATATCCTTCTGTGAGCATTACTTGTTTCATTATTATATCATTGTTGTTTATATTCAAATATGCTAAATTATTGAAGTTTCAGAAAAAGAAATTGATTATCCCACAATACTAAACCGTGTGCTGCCTCCAGAAATCAGAATAATTGGATGGGCACCAGTTGATCCATTATTTAGTTCAAGGTAATTAGATTCTTTTCTTGTTTTAGTACCTATTTAAATAGGAATTGTCTTACTTTCCTCATCATTTAACATATTCTATTCTAAACATTTAAACACAGAAGAGTTAAAAGGCAATTAATAATTTTTCATATGTATAAAATTTTAAGCACCTTTATCCTTAATCTAAAATTCACTATCAACCTTGTTTTTTTATTATTATTTTTTTAGTTACTATATAAATATATTTTAATGAAATTTCTTAGGCAATTATTATATGTATTACATGATTTTGACAAAGTTTACTCTTAATTAAAAGAACTGTCATTGAAATATTTAATATTGGAATATTTAATTTTCGATTAATATTTACTTCAGATTATAAAAATGTAGAAAATAAACCGAAATTGTATTTGAAAATTGAGAAAAAAACAAACAATGCTTTAATTGCCAAATCTCTAATTTTCTTAAAATTACAATTATTTTTTTTAATATTATTATTTTTATTATTGGAGAATTAAATAGAAAACGATAGCATGTAAAGCATAGGAAATAGATGTACAAATTTTCTGATTGTTAATTTGATACTTAAATGCCAAATTAATGTTAAAAAATAATCTTATTTGCATAGGTATATTTGTTGTACAGTTTATTTCACTTCATCAACCCATTTGTTAATTTTTATTGTCTCTTTAAGTGCAGTTATAAGACGACGTAATAATCTCCTGTAAATTATTTTCCGCTCTGAATTACTTTAAAGTGTTATTTTCTAATAAATTTTATTATTGGTAGCACATATCCATTTTCACCTGTCATTGACAGCACATATCTGTATCATTAGTTAATACTATACTCTTAATTATTTTTTTTAAAATCCTCTCTTAAAATTCGAATGACCAGAAAGATAAAGTTTATTTATTAATTATATATTTTAAATAGATATTTTAATAAATATAGTTTTTACCACGAATAGAATACAGTGCCGAATACAGTGCGCGTATAGAATATCGAATACAGTGCCCGCCGCTAATAAAATCACCGTATAATAAAATCAGCCTCTTTATAACATCAAATCGGCAAGAACCGAATCGTTACAATATTAATACATGTTAAAAACATCCTTTAATAAAATCAATGCCGCCTCTTTTTAAAATCAAAATTTTGACTACATAGTAAATCAAAGGTGCACTATTTCAGCTTTTTTTGTTCTTATTTATAAAATTTTATTTTTTCGAAGTTTAAAGATTTTTTTAGAAGAAGCAACAGTTACTCACAAACTTGTGAAACAGGTGTGGTTAGCACTTTCCTGCTACACACATAGTGTAAGAGTTAAGGAAAAATGTGGGTGGTAAGCGGCGAGTTCATAGAAATCAATTTATCAATGTTAATTCCTTGACTTGAATGAAGTTTGGAGAAACCTATCTCACTCAACAAGGGGTCGAATTCTTATCTTACTTTTTATTGAATGAACCATAGAAGGGAGAGAAGTTTCTTTTGTTATCTATCTTAACAGAGAACATGAATAGATTTCCAAAAACTGTCTGTGCACATGTTCCATATTATTTAAGCCGTTTGAGTAAATTATAGTTAGAGCACATATCATTTTTAAGTTCGTTTGGTGTTAAATTTTCTCAGCATGCCGAAAAGGAAGGTTTTGAGTCTTAAAGATAAATTCGAAGTGTCGCAAAACTATGATAAGCTTCCTAAATATAGTCAACGTGAAGCTTCAATGGAGATGGGGCTCATAACTGTTTCAAAGAAATGATCAGCAATGAAGAAAATGAAATGGACGAGAATTTTTCAAGTTACGTAGCTATTGACGATAACCTGCAAACATCAGGAGAAAAATCTGATTCTAAAATTGTTACAGACATCAAAAATTGCAAAGTTATTTCCCATCAAGAAATGGAGGAATCAGACTCAGAAGATGAAATAATCTCATCAGTGCCATCTTCAATGGAAGTCAGAAAAGCACTTAATGTATTGCTGCAAGCTTTGGAACAAAGAGGAGGAACATCGAAAACTATAAAAACTTCTATAAACTCTCAAATAATGTTGAAAAGTTAATTTTAAATACCGCAACTCAAGCAACCATTGATCTGTTTTTTGCAAAACTTTTGTAAATTTAATGTTATGTAGGGTTTTACTTTATTAAAATAATTAAATTAGTTAAAATAAAGCATTAATGTGGTTATTATTTCAGCTTTTAAAGTGTGTGCATTTAGAATATATCGTAAAATTTGTTTTTTCTTCTTCAAATGTTGAATCGCCTCTTAATAAAATCAGCCGCTTAATAAAATCAAAAGAGCATAAAACGAAAGTGATTTTAATAAACGGCGGGCACTGTACTTCTTTTCTTTGAATCTCAGATAATATTAGGTGCTCATATTATTTTTGACATTTTGCTTTGTATCCCAAAATGTTATAGATTTTTTAATTTTCCTGAATGTTTCCGAAATGTTTGAGGCATACTTTTTTTTTTATCCCTTCTCAAGATTATTTCACTAGCATCTATATTGAAATATAAAGTATCATTGAAATATTATCTTAAAACTAGAGAGATCTTGCTCTCTTACCTAGCACTCTTCACCTTCATGTACATAAGTTCTTCTTAGTGCGGGAGCAACCTACAAAGCTTCTGTATAACTTATAAATCGAAGCATGCAAGGCATTCTATGTGAAGGTATCAAATCTCTTTACTGTCTCAATTTAACAAAATATGAAATCATTTGAGCTTACTAAATTCGAGTGCAACTCCACTAATCTTTTGTAGTCAGAAATTTTAAATAACATATTTCTCTTTTTTTTTTTTTTTTTTTTTTTTTTTTTTTTTTTTTTTTTTTTTTTTTTTTTTTTTNTTTTTTTTTTTTTTTTTTTATTTCTTCAGATTATTTTTTATATTGGAAAAGTTTTTTTGAACTAATTTACTGTCAAGCAGATTTGAAATAATGTAACTTGCTTGTATCGTAGTAGGGTGATAAATTTAGATTTCAGTATTCAAATGCAGAATGTTTGAATACTGAATTTCAATACTTGACAATACTGAATTTCTTATCTGAAGCTAAGGTATAATACCAAACATTTTTCAAATCTATATGTTGCTATGTACTTTAAACTGATATCTAGGATTTTTTTTGTATTTTGTTGCAACGAATAATTACAGAAAGTTGAAAATGTCTTTCTTTTTCTTTCTTTTTTTTTTTTTTTAACTTTCAGGCATTTATTAAGGTTTAGAAAAAATTTTTTGTTTATGAGAACAGATTACTTAAATTAAAATATTTAATTTTTTATGTAATTATATTTAAGAGTCAAAGCAGAAATTTAAAAATTTCTCTGAGAATGTCATTATCTTACTCAAAATAAGTTTGTTACTTTATCTATATAGAGTTTTATTTAACTTTACTTAATTATAATTTACTGGCTACTTTGTTTATATTGTTCGATGTAATACATTTTTCTGTGCTAATGTTTAAGTTAAATACACAAATTGTATCTTCTAATAACTTTTATTTCTAACTGAATATTATATTTAAATATTTTTATATTAATATTTCAATGTTATTATATTTAACGGTGTATCTCTCTTTTAGATTTGATTGCACAAGTCGAATTTATAAATACTGGTTTCCTCTAGCAAACCTAAATATTGAGGTAAAAATTCATTGTCATATTTAAACATTTACTGCCTTATTATAAAGTATTTTTCAAACAAATATAAATGACCCATGTGACTTTTAGTATATATTTATGTAAAATCTATTCTGTCATTGCTTTCATTGCTGCTATTCTGTCATTGCTGTCATTTTATTTCATTATTGGTTCTAATGCATTTTATTTTTTTGTAATTGATATGCAAAAATAATTTGAGTTTAACTAAAATTTATATTGTTTAATTATTTAAATTATATGTATGATAAAGTACTAAATATATTGTAGACTTGTTTTTATATTTAAACAAAATGTTTAAAGTGCAAGTTTCATTTATATTAATATGCATTTTGAAAAGTTTCATTTTTTGTTGTTATTATTTAAAAATATTGAGTCTAATAAAAAATTTACTATGTACTTAGTTGCAACTTAGTGTTATATATTAGCATGTGTATAATGGATTAATATTCTAATTAACACATCATTATCACAATTTTGTTATAAGTATTATTTAACTTGAATGGCTTGCCCAATTATTGATATTGTTGAGGCTTTTATAAATAAAGATGCCAAAGAAACATTGTTCAAACAGAAATGTCATTTTCAACAAAATAAGATTAGAAGATGGGTTAAAAAAAGAATTTTTTCATTTAAAGATATTATTTTGGATTAAAACCATTGAACTTCAGGGTTTTTATTTTCAATAGAACTCAACATAAAAATTTATTTATATTTCATAGAAGAAAAATGATTATTTTGTGACTTAATAAAATTTTTATTTTTACTCTTAGATTATTTTTAGTGTTATGATATTCACGTGTATACTCAGTTAAAAATGAATAAATTGATCAAATTTTATAATAGTGATCGTTTGCTCTAGCTTATGCTATGAATGCATATCACTGCTGAGCTTTTAAAGTGGCTTATGATAAAATAATGAATTTATATGTGGCTTGTGTGAACAAATTTTTAAAAGAATTCTCGTTGTTGTGTTATTGATAGTGTTTCATTTATTTCATTTTTATGGTAGTGTTTTATAAATTTTTTGTGACTGAATAAAAATAAATCTTTAAACTATTCAAAAAATATTAGAAAGCATACAAAAGGCCAGATAATTTTTGATAATCTTAATAAAAGTAATATGTTACTTTAAAAAGTGGTTTTAAGTTGGTTTTGGAGTTATCATATTCAATTTTTAAATTTAACTTTTGTAATGATTTGAAAAAATAATTATTTTAAGCAATCCATATTTTTTTAAAACTTTTTAAGATATTCTGAATTAGATGTCCTTTTTTAATTTGGCATTAAACTTACATTGTTTCACTGCAGGAAATGAAGAAAGCTGGATTAAAACTAGTCGGTGAACATGATTTTAGAAATATTTGTAAAATGGATGTTGGCAATGGTGTTGTTAATTATAAAAGAAGAATTTTTTCTGTTGATATTGAAAAAATATCTTCTGGGTGAGAATTGAAATTTTTTTTTTAAATTGATTTTATTGAACAGTTTTTTAAGAAAAGCTGTTGCAAGATAAGACAAGTCCAGTTTTATTTTTGTATTTAATTGTACTTTCTTATTCATTTTATTTTTAGGAATTTTGAGTCTTACAGTATTTTAGAACTTACTGTAGTTGGTCAAGCATTCTTATGGCATCAAATCCGTTGTATTATGTCATTACTATTTCTTGTCGGTCAAGGAAAGGAAGATTGCTCAGTGAGTAATAATTATTGCTAATTCAAACTAATTATAAATATAAAGTTTAATCATTATTAACTATTGATTGAAGACAGTGTTAAAGAATTATTAAAACAGAGAATAGTTTATAGAATAAATTATTAAAAGCATTTTTTTAAATGAAATCAGTTCATAATTTATATTTTATTATGTATTTTTAATGCTTCTGATCTCTTTTTGATTTTTTTCAATTTTATTCTTAAAGGTAATAGAAAAATTGTTAGATGTTGACAATTTTCCTAGAAAACCTCAGTATGATATGGCATCTGGTAAGCAAGTCTTATTAATATTGTTTTAGAACTTAATTGATATTTTAATAATTTTATATATTTTTTAAGTATCTCTTTTTTTTATATAAAATATTATTTTTTAAAGTATCAGTAACGTTTTTTTGTAAATTGTTTGCCTTCATCATAAGACTTATAAATATGATAATTTTATTTCTAAGTGGCTAATTTTATTTTTTAAATATTGGTGAATGATCTTTTCTAACATAAATAAAAATATAGATTCCCCTCAATCCTGTAAAAAAGATCAAAGGGAATTTTTCTAAACAAATCCTGTATTTTTTTTATTCCATTACAGTAATTTCAGTTAGATACATCACATAACCAATTAAAATTATATTAAATCTAGATAACGTAAGTAACAAGAGAGATTATGTAAGTAATAGGAGAGATTATGTAAGCATGAGACAAACTACCTCAAAATGCTGATTACCACGTTCATTGCTGGATCATGTGATATCACACAACAAATTTTTTCCTACAGTTTGTGTCATTAAAACAGATTATGTGGTAACAAGATGCATATTATCATCTAAATATTTTTGCAGGAAATATGCTTTCTTGTGACAATAACATGTACAATAACATAATATTGCCTCAGGTTTATCCTTATATTACTGAGAAGTAATAAAAGTTATAAAAAAAATTAGCTATATAGCTATGTAAGCTGTAAGCATAAAGCTATATGTATAAAAAGTTATAAAAAAAGTACCTGAGAAGTTATAAAAAGTTAACCCCAGCATTTTCGTATTTCTGTTCCTCAAAGACAATAAAACATCTACATTTTTCATCTTCTCTTCCATTCATTGCTCTTTTACACCTCGCCAACTGCAAAATGACCTTTGATTTTAATTTGTACTTTATAAAATAATTTAATTTATAGTAAATTGAATTATTTTTAATATTTAGTCAATTTTTGTATTTTTATTTGAAGTTTTCTATGTTAAAAAATCACTTACTATAAATTGTTAAGATTTGCCCTTAGCTAATACTTTTGAAATTTGGATAATACTTTTGATATTTGGCTAATTCACTGGCTAATAGTTTGAAGTCCTTATTGCGTGCCCTGCTTTTGGGCGAATGCAGCATTGTATTGTGGTTAACATTTTTTAAAAGCAAGTCTCAATAATTTTGGTTTAGTGATCAGCATATCAAAGCGAAACATTTGATGTTTTATTTTGAACAAGTAAAACTATAAATTTCTATGTTAGTATTTTTAAACATGTAATTCTAATTAAATATTATAAATTGTAATTTGTATCAAAACTATTTCATTTAATCCAAATTTAAAAAAAAATATTTTAAAATAAAACAAAGTATTTTTTAAGTACTTAAATTAAAATTGAATGCATGTTGCCATATAGAATTTCAGACAAATAGATTTATTGAAGAAAGTGTTCTTGTTCAATCATAGGGACAATGCATCTTTTATCATCTAGAAATTTTCTACTTTCTAAATTTTAGAGGAATAAATCACATTTCTTTTTATATATGCTTATATGACTGCAAATAGGATTTATATATATGGAATAATATGTTTACTATTTAAAGTAAATGTTGAGAATTTACATATTTATAGTTCTATATCTATCATCTAAGCTAAATGTGTATTTATTTTTATCTATGAAAGAGTCTACTCATTTAATTAAAGTAACTCTTTACTTACATGAGATCTCAAATTTTCTATTTGTTTTGTTCTATGGTTATAGGATTGCAGAGTTTAAAATTCTGAGTTCACCAATACTTACTTATTAAATACCTATAATAGTAGTATAAAAATTAACCAACCAAAAAAGTCCTTGTTAAAAAATTAAAGTGAATTCATAGATGCTTTTAGATTTTTAATAGAAATAACTTTTTAGAAATTTTTTTTTCTCCCCATCCTACTTCGGGACAAAGGCCATATCGGCCATGAGCCTTCTGGCAGCCCAATAAAAGTATAATGTTTATCTTATGCATTTGTTATGAAGGTCTTTTTAAAAAGTAGTATTTTTATTAAAATATTATTTAAAATGTTATTTCAAAGTTTTATTTATTTTAAAAGTCCTATTTTGATTTAATGTCTACAAATATTCTTTAAATGAATATTTTTTTTTAAAATTCAATTTTTTCTTTACTACTTATTTTAAAATGCATTAGATATTAAAAATGGTCTTTTAACTTTTTCTTAATATTTTTGTTGTTGAAAGTTTTTGTGTTTTTTTAATAATAAAAATAATTTTTTTAGAATTGCCACTAGTGCTATATGACTGTTCTTATGATGATGTTAATTGGAATTATGATCAAACATGTTTATTCAATTTAATAAAACATCTTCAAAGTTTATGGACTCATCAGGTGATCAAGTATGTTATAATATTATTGAATTGAAATTTTATTATTTTATTTCATATTAAGTTTTGAATTATGAGAACTTCTTTTTTTCACAACTTTCCATAGAACAAACATTAAAATTTTTTTGTGCTAAAAAATGCTAGTTTTAAAACATTTATTTATTACCTGTAACCAAACATCAAAAAATATTATGGACTTACTCTTAGTAATGAAAAATGTTTTAAATATGCTTCACAGTATTTTGTAATTTAATTTATCGCTTTTTTTCTAAATGTTTCAAATTTTTGTAATCAAGCAATTTTTTTCTCTTTAACTGAAGATTTGCAAAGTTTATGAATTTAGTATGTGATATACTAAATTCATTTTCTATACAAACAAGATGATACATATAATATGTGATTTACTAAATTCATACTTTATACATATAAGAGAATACATATATTTCTTATATGTATAGTTCTGCAATAGCGTAATGTTTAAGGGTGATTTTCTCAAAACGTTATCTTTTGACTAAGACAATTAGAAAAAATTCATTTTGTAATTACGTTATTATTGATAATTTTTACACTAAAAACACGCATTTAAGTATACAAATCAACAACTAAAATTAAACTCAGTGGCACGACAGCTCATAGAAGACCAAAGCTTACTGTGCTTATCTCAGTTTTCTTAACCTTCAGGCTCTGGGGTGTAAGAAGAGATGTTCTGACTGGGTGGTCAGCCTAATGCAGAACTCCCAGTGTTAAGTTCCCAAACGTGCTTGGCGCTCATTTTATCGACCCACTGAAGGGATGAAAGGCTGAGTCAACCTTGCCCGTTCTGAGAATGGAACCAGGGACCTGTGGCACGACAATGAAATTTAGCAACAGTTTTAAATTGTTATTGCCTGGAAAAATGTAACTACTGTCTCCTTACTTAAATGCTTAAAAAGCATATGAAGAAAATATTAAACAATTTATCTATGAATTAAGAATAAGTAAATATAGAGAAATATTTTGAAGCACGGTAGTTGAGTGGTAGCACTTCGCATTCCCATACCACAGGTCCTGGGTTCGATCCTCGGGCTGGACAAGATTGATTCAGCCTTTCATCCCTTCGGGTCGATAAATGGGTTTCGCATTCGGCTGACCTCTTAACCAGAACATTTGCTCCTGCACCTCAGAGCCCAAGATCAAGAAAACTGAGATGGGCACAGTAGGCCTTGGTCTTTTATGGGCTGTCGCGCTACTGAGTTTAGTTTTGTAGAGAAATATTTTAAATGGTATTTAAATAAAAATGTAATTAATATTTTTTTTTAAGAAGACAGATAATATCCAGAATTTCGAAAAAAATTTGAAGTGTTTTAATTTTTTCATTGCAAAAACATCATTGTATCACTTATATTTTTTATATTACCTTAAGTAAGATCACATTTTGTAAGCAAAAACATGATGATTTAAAACTAAAACTCTTGGTTGTATTTTTAAAATACATTTTTGACTGCAGGGGGAGGAATTACACAAAGGAAAAAAAAGGATCATGAACTAAAAAACGCAATTTTTTAAAAAATTTCAATTCAATATAATTTAAGTACAAAAGCATCTGATGCATAATTTTTTTTTACTCTTTGTGACTATTTTAAGTAAAACATTCTATTAAATGATGAAAATTAATATTTTCATGGGAAATATTGCTTGAGGACACCAAAGTTAACAAATTGTGAAAACACCACTTATTGCATTTTTTTTTTGCAAATTTTGAAAAATGGAAGGATTTACATAACAATTTTTAACAGTAAATTATTTTAGTTATTAAATATATTTAAGTGAATGGATTATTTCTGATTGCGCAAATTTTTTTATGTCTGACTTTTGATTAAGTATACAATTTAATTTAGCATCTGTTTTTATTTTGTGAATTTAAATGAATCTAATCTTTTATCTAATTAATCTGTAATCTTTAATCTAAATTATTTTGCTTAATATTTTTTGAATTTTTATTGTAATGTATGAAATTTTTTTGTTCTAAAACAAATTATGAAAAATTTAAATATTATATAAGTACTTCGTGAATAGAGGAAGTTAGTTTGCTTTTAATAACAAGGGGATGGGCTTCAGCTATGCTTATATAAGATCTAAAACTCCTTAATAGACGATCACACCTTTGTTAGTATACAGATAGCTCTGCTGAATAGAAAACTATACACCATGTTTTCAGCTATATAACACACCATTTCAACTCAATTATTTGTTTAGACATAAGTTAGTCTTAATTTTCCCTGAATATTAGTTTTTGCAGAGTGTTTTCTCCTATCATAAAGATATAAAAGCATTTGATTGTAATTTGTAAATAGCATTTTTTAAACATATCTGTGAGCTATAGATTTCTTTTTAAATATTCTTTACATAATTAAAAGTCTACTTTTTTTCACTATAAGTATAATCATTTTGTTCTAAATAAATAGAAGTTTAATTGTTTTGATGTGAAACAAATTAACAGGTATTGTTATGTCTATGTATGAAACTCAGTAAACTTAATTTTTATCATTATCTATTCTAAAGTCTTTTCTCATTGTTTTAAAGCAATTATACAGTATAATAGTTTCTGTGAAATTTTGAATATTTAAGTTTTGGTATTGGTCTTGAAAAGTCTTTCAGTTAAAGTATATGCTAAATGATGATGCATTTAAAATGTGTTTATTTTACTATAAATTATGGTATTAATATGTAATGGTAGTTTTTAAAAAGACCTTATGAGGTATTATGTTCCTAATAATTACAGCATTACAAGTTCTTGATTTGATGATAACTTTTTGATTTTATAACTTTGTTTATATGTATGAAACCTTGAAATGAAAAGGAAAGAAAATCATTGACGTTGTTAGTTTCTGAATATTATGCAATAAGAGAAAAGTTTTTTTAATTATGTTATGATAAAACATTTTTCAGTGCTAAAAAGTTCAGAATTGATTCAAAAGCAAAGTAACAATTGTTTCTTGTTCTATTATAATACATATATTTAATTATTTTTTAATAGGACAACAATAATAAAGAGAATGCTGCAGGACTTAGAGTCAATTTCCGAGAATAATACAATTATTCATCAGCTAGATTGTTTGTTACCTGGAGTTAAACCAAGAGTATATAAAAGACTAATGGATCGTCAATGCTGTGGTAAATACTTTTTCTTTTATAGATGCCAAATTAAAGCTAATTTCAATTTCTATATTTATTCCCAAAATTTGCGCAAGATTTGACTTGAATGTAAAACATGTTTTTTTTAAATTTGTATTTTTACAATTGTGTTTTGTGTGTTGTGTGTGTATTTACAGTTGTGTCTACGTATGGTATCCAGGCATATTTTAGGTTTAAGGGCATCTAATTGGCTTATCCTAATCAAGAGAATGCTTCAGGACACGCAGTTTTTATAATAGATAGAAATAAAAACAAGACTAGTTGAACAAAGTTTATTTTATCTTGGATTAAATAGCTTACATTCATTTAGTGCGAGTACATGTAGCAGATTCAATATAAAACATAAAATTATTTCTGTTTTATAATAAATAACTTTAAATGTATAGAAATGTACATACTCTCATTATACACAATAATATCACAAGATAAAGCGATGTTTATAATAATTTATATATACTTATATTGACACAAAATGGTAAGATATGTGACATGAAGACATATACAAGCTTTCATTTAATTCTGAGAACAATTACTTTGAATATATCTCCCTTTTCCTTTTTTTTTTGAAAAAATTCTCAAAATGAACATTTGAAAGCTCTCTGGGTAGTAAGAAGTCTTTACTTGTGTAAGCATTGTTTTTGAAACAATTCCGTCAGTTTTTATTAACTCTTTCGCTACCGGAACGCCCGAGACGCCTCGTAAGCTAGACTACCGAAAACGCCCGAAGTGCCCGTGAAACGAGTTAGAGATTCTTCCCCCTTTTCGAAAAATAACACACAATGGGGGAGGTGTGGCAGTAATCGTCCTTGAAGGTAATTTACAAAAAGGGAAGAAAGCAGAGGGATTTTTCAACAAAAGTTTTGTTTTATATCATTCCGCTTTTGTAAAGTTGTTTTCTCCTGTTTATATATATATATATAAACCAAAATGTATTTTCTCTGTAAAGGTCCTTCGACCGAAAATAATTTTCAATTAAATTAATTTTCAATGATGAGACAGGATGAGTCGGATTTTAATGAATCAGGGGATGAAGATGAATTCGAAGATGTAACACCAACTGAAACTACTGTTGCCCCTAACGACTGAACTTCTTCTGATAATACTTCTCGAGAAAAAGTTAAATGAAACGTTTTATTGTAAAAATAAAATCATATTCTCATAAGCTTAAAATTTATAGTTAAGAAATATAGTATTTTTTGACTTTTTTGAAAGACAGAGAGAGATGTAGAAACAAATATAAACTCAAAATTAATTAACCTAAATTATTAAGCTGGCTACTTCTTTTTGTCTGAACTTTTTTGATTACTTACGTTGAAAAGAATAAACTGGAGTATTGGAGATAAAGTATTTTTTTTAATCATTAAATAATTTAGTTATTGTGCCTTTAAAAATATATCAATTGTTCAAGATAATAAACAGCTCGAAATTTGCAGTGTTTACAGAAAAAAGAAATGGCAGTAATTTAAAAATATATTATTCTGCAAGATTACTAAATACAATTAATTATAAATCTATTTTTAAATATAAAATAAATAATTAAACATTATTTTATTAGAATTAGATCGTAGGCTTTGATGCCTTACAAAATAGTTTTTATATTTATAACAGTAGGATCCAAGAGAAAAAACTGCTTTGATGGGTACCAAAACTATTATTTGAAATTTGAACTTTATTCTGCATTTGTAGTTCGACAGCTGTAAATCATTCACGTTGTCTTGCTGTTTTATGAATGCCTCGCTATTTTCACCTTTTCAATGCTTGTTATTACGTAGGTATTGCACTTGAAGCTGCACCGACCCATTTTTTTTATTAATTGTTAACACCTGGTCTAAAAACACGAATTTTACTATTGTTTTTTTTAATGTGTTGGTGTCAAAACTCTTAAAATAGTTAAATCTCTATGAATTTATTTATTTTCAAGTTTACGCCTTATCTTCTTACAAAAGGGTTTCTTCACAGGAGGATTATCTGTAGTTAACTCTAATTTTTCAGGAACGTATTTTTTCCTTCATAATGAATGTTCTATATTCAGCTGTCAGACCACCCAGATGTGTTACAATTTACTCATTCATTTCTGTAGAAGATAAGCGTTATCAGCATAGCTTCTAAAGGCTATTGTTAAATGAAAATTAACATGTCATATAGTAGATTTTCTCCAATTCTACCTGAAGTTGGGACTGATATCTTTGTCACCAAAATTATGGTGTGGTAGTGTAAGAAATTTCTTTGATATTCCCCTTTTCTTTCAAAGAAATTTCTTGTCACCACACCCATATATACTGCACCATATGTCTATAAACAGATGCCGATTTCCAACTGTTCAGTAAAATGCAGAACAATTTAGTCCCATACTCAAAAAGAAATAATTACAAGTTAAACGTGACAGAAAGATAAATCTTAGCCTAGAAGGCATTGTTGAAATAGGAAGTAATTGTGTTCCCTAGCATACGTAAAGAATAGCTGTCTGGCTGATTAACGATGGGGTCGGAGGTTAAAAAATTATGCATTAAATATAGTCATTAAAATTTTTAAAAATGAAATTAAGAAAAATTAATAGTTAGTAAATAAAAATTTAGACATTATATATATATATATATTTGATAAGCTTTGAAGATATTGTTATATAGTTGAACATTTATTTTGTTTGCTTTCAATCCACTTTTTCAATTTATGATAATTTTCCAATTATTAGATTCTTAATTAAATTACACATAAACTTACTTTTACTATAGCAATTATTTATAGAAATTCAAAAGCAGTTTTATTGTTTTTATTATGAATATAATTTTTTTAGATCAATTTACTTAATTACACATATTTATGAATTTTTATTTTTAACGACAATATTTTAAAAATTCTTGAGAAAAATTATCAAATACTCTTATGAAGAGGACACGTGGAAAAATTACAGCAATAATGGATGTTTCAATAATGAAGAAATGGATGCTTCAAAATATTTTTATATGAATTATGGAAAGACATATACAAAATTTGACATCTATTTTGAGTCGTTTACTTTCAAATAATTTAAAATTAGTTAAACAATTTAGATTGTTTACAAGAACCTTAAAACAAATAATTTTATTAATTATTATACTTTTTAATTTTCAAATTTAAAATTTTTTTTCAATGCACCGAACTGAAATTCACATAAAAATATAGTTTCTAGATAAAATAATTTATTTGTAAAAAAATTGAACTTTTTGATTTTTTAAAATAATATAGAAATATTGTACTTAAAATATTATTGTTAAAACAGTTCTTCAGCATTTTTTTAATTTTTATGCACAAGTTTACATGCACAGCTTACTCTTTTATGGTACAGCGCTTGAAGGAATATAATTTACAAATGAATTAAATTTACTTAATTGAAATGAAGTTAATGCTGGCAAAAGCGAAAAATATTTTTTATACCTTGAGGAGGAATTATAGTTTCTGGGGATAATATTTCTAATGGTTTCAGAGCCTTGTTAAATAATAAGAAAAGTTTCTCTTATTTCATATTGGAAATTGATATAAAATAAGAAACACATTTAGGTAGAATAATATTTTAGTACTATCACCAAATTAATTTCTCCTTAATGACTGACGTTAATTTTAAATGTTGGTGTCAAAGAAATTAAAAATTTATTTTTCAATCATTTAAGTTATTGAATTATATTAGTTTTTGTTTTACAACGAAAAAAAAAATGATTTTTTTTTGTGCGAGAATATTATTATCAATTTGAATGCTTTATTTTGATTTTGTATAACTGGATTACATGGAATTACATACTTATGCTTCAATATAAATAATAAAATTTAAAAAAAATAAAAACCAAAAACAAATGCAAGCATTTATTAACATTTTATAAATCTCGTTACGTTAGCGATATTGTTGCTTCAAATTATGTCTTTCTTCCCTTTGAACTCCTATTTTGGGGATATTTCCACAGGTGAATAAAAAGATGATCAGTCATTCTGTCATTCCAGAGTAAAACTGGGGGTAGGAAATTTTTGCAACTTGTTTTCCTACTTCGGGCGTTTGCGGTATTCTGGGCATGCTGTGGTTTGGAGGGCTCGGTATTTAAAGAGTTAATATTTACTTTGAATTACATATTCAAGTTTGAATATATAATCTTAAATGTTTTAATCTCAGGTTTTAAATCTTACAGTTTTTATAACCAAATTAGGTGTATAACTTTTAAATGAAGTGCTCTAAAATGGTTATATCTACATTTATACATTTTGTTTCAGTGAATTTCTATCTCTATTTTTCACTTATATAGAAATTTAATTAAAATTTTTATCACTTATAATTAAAAATCTTGTTTTTTTTAACTTTAAAAAGAAATGAATTCTCATAAATTTTGCTAATTTTTCTTTAAACTTTTATGAATTAATAGAATTAAGTATTTAACGAGTGCATATTGTCGATTTTTTCTTGGATTTGGCATTATTTTTAATTTTTATGCACTTTTTTGTGTAGGTGAAAATTTCAAATAAAGTTATTCTGTGTTAACTCAGAACACCCGTATAATTAAATTTCAGATGAATTAATTTTTATGTAATCAAGTTTGATAGATTTCAATACTTATTTTTACGTTGTTTTAGATCCTATTTAAATTACGCATAAAAGCTTAACAGTAGCAGGTACCCATTGTCGTTTTAAAACCACTTAAAACATTTTGGGTTTAAAAACATGTTATGATTGTATAAATATACAATCTTATTTCTGCAACCTTAACCTCATTGGCCATGTTATTACTATTATTGCACTAAGAATTTTCAGAAAAATATTGTATCAGATAAATGATATGCCAAAAATTTTAACTAAATCGTCCAGCACACATCTGTTGGTAAGATATAAGTTTTATAAGTGATTTCAACTAATTTGAACTCCAAATTTGTTATGATAATCTGCATTATAAGTTGTTAACTTTTTCTTTTCTTTTTCCCCCTTTTAAAATAGCTCAATTAAGTTGAATTAGTTTTTTTTTGGATGTAAGCAATGTTTCTTCTGTCAGCTATGAAAATCAACTTCTCTGCTCATTATAATAATCTTTTTTAAAAATATTCTTTGTTTTTCTACTTAGTTTGTTATTTTCAAATACTGTTGATTGGCACTAAAGAAAGTAAATGTATAGCCAATATTTACCTATAATCCATCAATACTTCACTTGATAAATATTTTTATTACTGTGAAAGTTACTGTTAAAGAAACAATGAAGTGTAAATAGTTTCAAATTTTCAATAATGGGAAAGAAACTTTTGTCATTTTCCCCCTCACTTGAATTAACACTCTAATTCTGAGAGATAAGAAATATACACTCAAGTAGGAAAATAAACACTTCCATAATTTTATTTTATTAAAAATTGTTCGCTGAAATTTCGGAAATTTTGTAATACGTTGAGCCTATTTCTTCCTCTGGCGGCTTCCATTTATAGCTGTACATATAGAGAATTAATTATGTTTCTTCTGCTAAGTTTCTAAATAAAGTGGTTTGAAATGGAAAAAAAAATTTTTTTTTCAATGATTTCCTGCTGTTTTATAGCTGTTGTTCTTGTCACATAGTTCCACTAAACATTTAATATGTTAATGTATGTTAATTGAAGCAATAATTTTTTTTCTTTTCATGTAATATATTTTTTAGAATGCATGAATGTGAGTATTATTATATAATTTACATTAGCATAATTTTGCTATTGCTCTGTTTGCTTACTTCCTTTGCATGAACCAATCAGTCTAGTCAGTGCAGTTGTTCAACTATGAAAACCTTCATTAAAATTTTCAAATTCATCTTGTATGTTATAATTTGTATAACAGATAGTTTATAATTTGTATTACAGATAGTTTGGAAGAAAGACTTAATCATCAGAGAAAGAAACAAAAGAAGTTATCAACCTAGAATTTTAGAAATATACAGAATTTCTTAGTTGTAAAAAATCAACCATCACATCATAGAGCAATCCCATTCAATGAACTTCATCTTCGAAATATGTTATTTAAGTGAGAAGTAATAAAATTATTTCATAACAATGTACTCAATGAACTTATTAAATTAAATTTTTATTTCATATACAGTTTTCTCAATCAAAGATTGTATTCACAATCCTATACATACAGTTTTAAACTAAGTGTTGAAGCTAGTGATTTGCTCAATATACTGGACCCATATAGTTAACACACATATTAAGTTAAGTATTTTTGTTGTCAAAATGATTTTTTTAAACATTTAAGCAACAATTAAGATAAAATTTTACTTTTTATTATTAAAGATATTAATTGATAAAGTACAGGCTAAAGTTACAGAGACATTTTTAATAATATTTTTATATATTTAAATGTTGATGTAATTTTGGTTTGTATTTTTGCTATCAGACTCTTTCTGATAAATTATAATTTTGATATAATTATTTATTTTCAGGTATTATATATTTTCAACTTTTCTAGTACACAATATATTGACATAGTGTTTATTATATATGATAATTGAAATATAAGATTAGGATATCAAGATATGATAATTGGAATAGTCAAAATAATACCCTTCCTTAAGATAAAAATATATATATGTTTATAATACTGTTTTAAAACATTTCTCTTTTAATTTAATTTTATAAAGTGCTAAATTAATCTTAAGAGTCAAAAAAGTTAAATGTAAATGTGTTAATTTTTAGTATTGATTTTATACAACTCATAAGGCAAAACAATGCTGATATTAATTATGAGTTGATAATAACTTAACTATATAACTTTCTGCATACAGTTATTTTAATTAAAATTATATCGAATGTCTCAAGATTTAATAAGTTTATATAGACTACATAGTTAGAAATGTTTTAACCCACTGACGGTTCTGCACGTAAAAAGTCGCATTTTAACCTGCAGTCTTCTCTGCATAGCAAAACCGGTTTTCCCATGTTAATGGATAGGGGAACTGTGTGTAGGGGAGAAACATTCTCCCAATTTTGCCCATTTCCTTAACCGCCAGTGGGTTAAATTGAATACTAAATTGAATAAATTAACTAAATGTAGTAAAATACAGATGATTTCACAAAATGCAAACGAATTTACATATTACAAATATTTCTTGGACTGCTGAAATAAATAAATTACTAAATAAAATTTTTCATTCTTTTTTTTTCTCAGGATTTTTGTATAAGTATGAAGCTTTAAATAGGTGATAAAATTATTTACTTAAAGATGATATGATTTTTTTTTTATTTTAGATCTGCAGAAAGAGAACATGAACTAGTTAGTTACTGTGGATCTTAAAAGGAATTTATTTCCTCAATATATGACTCAGAGTATTTTTTGTTTCTGAAATATAAGCTTATGATTAGAACACAGTATTATATGATATGAAAATAACTTTAATTAATGTAATTAATTGAACAACACTCATTTATTTTTTCTTTCTCTGGTGATCATCTACCTTCATTGCCTTGATACTGGATGTTGCAGAAACGTTCAAAATCTGCTGCTTCTTTCTCTAACACATCAATTAGTGCTTGTGCAGATTTCTTCTCAACTAAAATAAAGTGGGAAAAACTTATATTATTATTTATAACCATTGCTGAGTTAAAAATTATCTATTCACAAAATATATTAAATTTTTCGAATTTTACGCTTTCTTTTATTCAAAGCAATACTTGTAAACTTATTGAATCATAATATTTAAAAATTTGATGCAATCTTAACCTTATTTCATGATATTACTATTCCTTCTTACTATTACGGTTAACTATTCCTTCTTAAAATTGATTGCTCAATGAAGTGGATGCAAAATCTCAATTAACCAATTCTAACTAATATAATTTTATGTATAATTCGAAAAAGCACTTCATCGCTTAAGGTCATGAGTTCGATCCTGGAAGGTAACTAAATAATCGGCATGCATACGCACCAAGGTGTATGCTAAATCTGTTGTTGCTGTAAGTCGTCTTGATAAATGTGGTGTGAATGTTTAGAGAGAGAGAGAGAGGGATATAATTTTTTTAAAAATGAGGAGAGAGGGATATCATTTGAGGGATATATTTTTTGCTTTTCACGTCGCTTAACCGGGGTTAAAATTATCTTTTAGCAGCCATGGTAGGAATACCATGTAAAGTTCTGAAAAACTGGGCTAGGTGTTTAGCCATGATTGTGTGAAGTGAAGGTTTTTCTTTTATCCTTTAGTAATTATTAATCTGATGTAATACACTCTATAACAAACAAATCGACGCACCAAGAACGCACTTAAATGCGCAAAATCGACGCTCGATCAGGCTGGAACGATGCCGACTGGGGACGTATAGTCTTTAGCGACGAATCCCGCTTCCAACTGTGTCCTGACAATCATTAAAGACGTGTTTGGAGACGCACAGGGCAGAGGGGGGATCCTGACTTTACTATTGCACGCCACACCGGCCCTCAACAAGGCATTATGGTCTGGGGTGCCATTTCCTTTGACAGCCGGACCCCTTTGGTCATCATTAGAGGTACACTTACTGCACAGCAGTAAGTCGACGACATCCTTAGACCTGTTTTGCTACCGTTCCTTTTGCAGCGCCCTGGGCTGCTTTTTCAGCAGGCCAATGCCAGACCACATACGGCACATGTTGCTATGAGCTGTCTGCAAGCTTGTCAAACTCTTCCTTGGCCTGCCAGATCACCAGATCTCTCTCCCATCGAGCATGTCTGGGATATGATGGAAAGGCGATTGCATCTGGCACGGAATGTTGATGACCTCGTTCGACAATTGGATCGAATTTGGCAGGAAATACCACAAGAGACCATCCGGGAGCTTTATTGGTCTATGCCACGCCGTGTGGCAGCTTGTATCCAGGCTAGAGGTGGGTCAACACCTTATTGAACTTGTTACTGTAACTCTGCAATAAATTATTCAATTGTTCTGAAATTTTAATCATTTTCTATTTTGTACATTGTCTTCCTATCCACCAATTTTCGTTTCCATCGGACAACTCCTTCTTGGTGCATCGATTTTTTTGTTATAGAGTGTATCTTATTTCCAAAAGACTGGAACCTTTTTTTCAACATTAATTGAGCTATAAATTTTTTTTCAGTTTTTTGTATTCCAGATAGTGCAGTGCCATTTTTGTTATTTATACTCCATTACTGTGTACTCTAACTTTATTCTTTTTTCTGTAGTCAGTTGCTTTTTGGTTTAGCCTAGTAGTTGCTATAAATTTTGATCTTTAACTTAGTAACATTTTGGGATATCTTTTTTAGATTCTTATGTGCCACTGCTATGTTTGTTATTGGGATAAATCGGTATTATATACTAATTAATTGAATTTAGTATGTTAATTTTTTGAATATAATATATTAATTACTGTTGGATAGTGGAGGTTAATTTGTTTCATTTGAATGGAAGCATATTGCAGCATGACATTCATGGTGAATTTGTATGGTTTAAAAGTACTAGCATTTTTGTATTGCAAAGTAAAAGAATAGGTATTTATTGTTCAAACTATTAAAGTTGAACCAAGTAATTTTCTTTTATTTTATTTCATTTTTTTAATATAAATAAAATTCAAAGTAATTCCTTAATATAATTAAATATCAATTAAAGTAATTACTAAAAGTAATTTAAGTTTGATTGAAGTAATTGATCTATGAAAAAAGTAAACTAATTTTTATCTAATAGTGTATCTGTTCTTTATACTAATTACTTTAATGTCTTCAGTACAAAGTTTTATCAATGTAAAGTTGTCTATGTAAGGTATTTTGAAGTTTTTTTTAGCTCAATATAAAAACTTATTTTGGATCTAGAAAAAAAAAAAACTACAGGAGTACTTTATTTTACATTAAGTTATAAATTATTGCAAAATTTTGTTTGTAAAATAAACTGTAATACAATTTTTTTTTAAATGAATAGCTTTTGAGATTATGTATCTCATGCTTACTTTTTTTTAACTTTCTTTTCTTACTTTACTCTTTTATAGGTGATGTATAAAAGTAAAATTATGAATGCATTAGAATTACAACATTCGAGTATTTCGACATTGTAAAGATTAAAATAGAAAGAACACCCACCTTTTGTTAATCTGTTTTGCAATCTGTTATTCTCTTTCCTCAGGAACTGTATTGTACCATCTTGCCTTTTTAACTGAAAGATAATTTTATGTTTTCAACATCCAATTAAATATGTAAAATGAGTTCTATTTAGCTTTATATATTATTCCTTATGGAATAGTTTGTTATAAGTTTATTTTTTCTGCAAATGTAAATTTTAAATTAAAATTGGATATTAAAAAATGTAAATTTTCTATAAAAATTCATTTGTAGTTTTGACAATAGAGGAAACAAGCTAAAGTCCTGAGAAAAAATGACTCCAATATACTTTTTTATAAAATCAAATTATTGTACTTATAATTCTTTTGGGACAATGAGATATTCGAGGGAAGTAGAAGTTATAATTTTATGCAGGTTTTCTTATGAATAACAGTAAATGAATTTTTATGATCTGCATTCACATTTGGTACTAGGATATTTCATGCAAAAATACACATTTCAGACTATTTTTTTTTATTTTTTTTTTTTTAAATTTTTTAGTTAATTTCCTGCTTCATGCGTCCTTCATTGTTTCATCACAGGCAGTTGATTCTTGCAAAAAGGCAAAAATTACTAATAAATTATGCATTAAAATGTGCTAAATGTATAATAAATGTTTTTTTGGATTTCCAGAGTTCAAAAATGAAAACATTTTATTTAATTGCTTTAATGCTTTATAAATATGAAGGTTTATATCAAATATTTATTCAATTTCACAAAATACAGTTTAGTATTCAAAAAATTTTTGCTTGGAAAACAGTAATCTATTTAACCTGGAGTCTTTTTTATCTGACATTGCAATGTTTCAAAGATAAAATTTTTTTAAGTATTTTTCAAACTGATGTGATGATTAAAATTGGAATATAAAACATTACTAACAAAAGATGCAGTTTCAATAATAGTACTGTAAAAGAACCAACATAAAAATCAAGAATATTAATAAAAAACAAAATTATGATAGTTTGAACTCAAAGTGTTTTTTAAAAAATTATTTTTTTAGAATAAATTGTTTATAATTTTTAAGATAAAATGAAGAAAATAAAATGTAACTGTAGCAATCAAGGAATCTAAAATTTATTTACCAATGTATGAAGTCTCAAAACTTCTTGCTGTAATCTAGTTAAACAAGTAACTTGGGTTTGATAAGCTTCTAAGCTCTTCTGCCTCCTGCAATTGCATAAAAATAAATATTGCACAGTTCTTTATTAAAAGTAATTTGTGGGGCCATTGTTATCGACAATGTCAACCTTCATCTAAAAAAAGGTACCCCTATAAGGATCGAGTTAACATGTCATACATACTAGTAAATTGGAATTGAATAATTGTAGTGGTAGACGCGCTACAATGCTCCCCCACCAGAATTTTATCTGTGATAAAATTCGATGAACGGATAACACTAGTTGATTCATTGCTGTTTTGTGAAAAGCCGTTAGTGCTGTATTAAGATCACCAGATTTTGAGTGTTGGTAATGCGAGCTATATTAAGATCACTATTGTGTGTATGGTCGCTTCTGTGTTGCTATTAACAGGAAAGTATTTACTGGTCAACGTTGTGCGTGAACGAGACTAGTAACAGCGTGATGAGGACAATGTCACAGTCACAAATGGTAAGTGAACTGTTCAGTGTGAACCATCCGTCGAATTAGGTATGCTCAATTCAAAGTGGGCATGTCTGTCGAGGTAGGCATGGTCAGATCACATCCGAAGGACACCATGTAGGGTGAGTGTTATTGACAATGTCAACCTTCAACTATGAAAAGGTACCCCAACATAGAATCTAGTTAACATGTCATATATTAGGGAACTGAATAATTGTAGTGGTAGGCACGCTACATAATTCATTAGTTTTTACAAAGTTTTATAACTTATTTAGCTTTTAATTATATAATATAAGCAAATACTTACAGAATGATTTCAATATTTACATCATTACAATTTACTAGATAAATTAATTCTAAAATAAATGCTTGCGTATTACTCCAAAATTATCCATTAATTTGCTCTATAAATTATCCAATATCATCTATTATTAATTCATCTATTACTTTTCCAATATCATCTATTAATATTTTTATTACTTAAATTAAAAAATGCAAACTTTCCTGTAGTATGCCCAGTAGTATACTAAATGAAATCAAATTTGAGAATGTTGAAACCATATATGTATATATAGCACAATTTGAAAATATAATAAAGTTACGTACAGAAATCTTATGTTTTAATTTAGTTTGAATTTTGTATAATTACAGTTCAATTTTGTCCAAAATAAGAAAAAAACAGCTGTTTATACAGAGGTGGGACAAAGTAATGGAATACTTCTATACTAACAAATTTTTTGATCTTTCTCAAAAAATACTTAAGTGTCTTTTTACGATAGAAAATTTTTAAGAAAAGGAAACTATTCCTTACTTTTTATAAATGAAGATAAAAAATCTTTTCTTTTTCATTTTTAAACATTTGTTTTTGTTTTTTTCTGCTTTCAATTTTGTCTCCATTTTTTAAAATCTGATGGGGAAAACAATCTGCAGATGTTGTGATAAATCTGCAGCGCCCTTTGTCTGGCTGGAGAGTTTCTGCATCCCGGATGGTATGTATTTTTTTTAAAAAACTTTATTTTTAAAAACGTTTACTGTTAAGGACATTGATCACTGAACATTCTTTGATTTCTTTTCCTATTCTTAGTTTTAAAAGTTAAATGAATTTGAAATGTAACATTTTTGGGAAGTTTTAACTTAATTAGGAAGTATAAAAATTTGAAGAATATTAGTAATAATTGTGTTAACCACCGTTAATTTTTTTTAAAAAAATAAGAAAAAAAGTGATAGTTATTACATTTTAGCAATGTATAAGTGTTTTTTTTTTCTTTTCCTAAAATAGTACTAGTTTGAAAAGCTGCTTTTCTCTGTCAATGAAGTTAAAAAGAAATCGATATAAAAATGTTAATAATTATAGCTCATTTTCAGTAATTGTTAATTGAAAGTTGTAGTTCGTAATAGTAAATCTTAATCTTAAATAGTAAAAATACCAGATGTTTTTACCTAGTTGTAAGCATTGATTATGGTTCATTTGGACCGATATTACAAGGAAAGTTGCTTACAAATGCTGCCAGATTCTTCGATACACGTCTTATATCTTATATTATAAATGTAATTTTTTGTTAATTTCTTTTTTTAAAAACACATAATAAACTTCATTAGAGGATTGTAGGTAATCATTTTATAGACATTTATTCAAAATTGTGAAATAAAATCAGCAAACAATTAATAATTATAGATAAATAATAATCAATTAAAATTTTTACCACTTTTCTACTTCTTCATCCATAGCTACTACTGCATCAGCACTATTCCAATCTTGTGCTCCCGGCAATGGAGGATAGTGACCTTGAAAAAATGTTAATATTCTATATAAACTTGTACAAATTTAAGTGCATACATATGCGGTAATAAATGTTTGTTATAATGACCTATTTTAAACTGTTGTTACCAAGGCAGTACTTAATTGGAAGTTTCATGCATATTTAACTAATTTAACAATTATGAAAATATTTCTTACCATCAAATGGAGGCAAGTAGCACAGCAAAGTACCTTTAGGACAACCTTCGATTTCTAGTTCTCTGAAAGGAAAGATATATATATATATATATATCCGTCGAATTAGGTATGCTCAATTCAAAGTGGGCATGTCTGTCGAGGTAGGCATGGTCAGATCACATCCGAAGGACACCATGTAGGGTGAGTGTTATTGACAANAAAAATTATATATATATATATATAAAATAAAAACAGGAATTATGGATAATTTTGTTTTGAAAATAATAGTTACAAATACTTTTGTATTGAAAGTAGTAATAACATACTTGTGTATTTAAAACAGTGCTTTAATTTGTATTGAAAATATCAAGACCTTTTATATCAAAAATAGTTAGGATATATTGTGTCCTTGTAAAATAAGATATGACGTATGGATGTTGTCTCCGGATCATTCTTAGGGATGCTTCCCAGACTGTCGTCAATGGCCCATTGTGCAGCTCTAGTGCGACGTAAATAAAAGTACCATATCGTACCATCTTTTTTCTTTCCCTACTGTGGTTTTTCTTGTTTTGTTTTTCCCTCTTTTTTTTCTGCCATTTTTCGTTAACAATTTTACGTTTTATATTTCAAATGACTTTTGTTTCTTCTCTTTCACGTCTGGCATGTCTTGAGAATGGGGGCCTATTTCTGAGCACTTGGAACATGCCGACAGTTATTTTATATTAGTATATTTTTGAAGTGAATGACGTTTTTAATCAAATAATATCTTACCGCTTCAGTTTCTTGAGATTATTTATTTAATAAATACCCTTTATGTTTGTAATATGTCAAATAAATTTGCATTAAAAATAGGTTTTTACATTCATTTTAGTATTTAAAACAGATATTGTATTTATATTGAATGATTACAAGTATATATATTTAAACGGGGCAGATATTATTGTATTAAAAATAATAACGATCTGATAGATGATTACAAGTAAGAGTTATTTACCTGAATCTACTGTTTAGGATAAGGTCATCCGTGAAGCTGTTTTTGAGGAAGAAATTCAATGCTGAGGGATCTGCCCTAACAACCAAAGCATCATAGGGTCCAACTTGTGATGGACTCTTTAATTTCTGAAATGGAGATGAAAAATGGGAAAATATTTAAAACTTTTAAAAGTTGCAGGAGATATTTAGTTATTAGTCATTGAGATATTTTCAAATTTCGGTGCATTTTTAAAACGGATATACAGTGCAAAAAAAAAAGATAATGGAATACTCTGAATAACTTTTTACCTAGTGATCGGATTTCGTTCTAGAACTCAATCTTAATGGCTCGGTGACCTCAACTATGCTGATTAATAAGTGAACACGATATTATAAGTTACGAAATCAGACACAAAAACATACTTTCTCTGAATAAACATACTTTCATCCCCCCCCCGACTGATTCGGATTTCTGACCCCCTAAAGAGAAGGTAGCTGCAATCTGGGAAGTATGGTCCCCATAGTTTGATCAGGAAAGGACTCCAAAGTTTGGATCCTTTAATGTTATTTTTACTTTTTGCGTATTTCGCTATATCTCGAGGACTTTTTAAGCGAGTTAAAAAATTTTTGCTCACAATTATAAAAGTTGTTTTTAGTTGTATTTTTGTTGTTTTTTTTTATCTTCCTTTTTTGCGCTTTGTACAGATTTTTAAGACATTTAAAGGTAACTGGAAAATGTGTCGCTTGTGCTCTGATTTTTAACATATATTTATGAATATATATGTAATATAGAATACCTCATACGAGTCTTTCCATATTAAACCATAAGCTTAAAATAGATTTCTCTTACTAATTTTAAGACGTATAAATCATTCTTTCACTAAGAGCCACAAAAAGTCATTCAAATTTTCTCATTTGAATGACATTTGATTAAGTTAAGGATGTTCTTTCTTAGGGATGTCTCCCTTTCAGTATCCCTGTTTAAATAGCAGGAGTCTTCAAAAATGCTTGGCTTTTTCATGTCTTCATGGCTAGATAAATCTGTTCCAAATCCCAACATTCCTACCATGGAAACCATTCCTACCATTTTAATCCATGACAAAATCCAACGTAAGCTGTTAAATAAACTTGATATAAAGTAATAAGATGTCTATTTATTTGAATAACCCAAAGCATTCATTATCCTACCATGGAACATTATCTACCATGGTACATTATCCTACCATGGAAACCCACCATTGTAATCCATGACAAAATCCAACATAAGCTGTTAAGTAAACTTAATATAAGGTAATAAGATGTCTATTTATCTGATTTACCCAAAGCATTCATTATCCTACCATGGAAACCCACCATTGTAATCCATGCCAAAATCTAACGTAAGCTGTTAAATAAACTTAATATAAAGTAATACGATGTCTATTTATTTGAATTATCAAACTGAATTATTTGAATTTGATCTAGCCTTTGAAGTCATATTATTACATATATATATATATATATATATATATATATATTAATTTGACGGATAAGCCCTTCACTAAGACGCCGAAATATTAAAGTTAACACTAATTCCCGCGATATTATGACATATTGCAATATTCGTTAGTATGAGATTAGTATTGGATAATAACGGGTCAAATACTATCTAAATCTAAAATTATGAATTTGTTTTTGGTGTACGCATATGATGCTAAAAATGAATAAAATAAATTGATTTACTTATGGTTTTCAAAAAAGAACTTTTATAAACGTCGAGAGATAGTTATCCGAGAAAGTAAATCTTTATTTTTGAATTTACTTGCTTCATTTTGAATTGAACAGTGTGATGAGAAATACAAATAAAAATTATAAATGTATATCCTTTTCATAAATTTAATATAATGTTTGTTGAAAATGTTCCTTTTTTTTTACTTAAATAATTTCATACAAACAACCGAAATATTAAATAAATGGATTAGATCTAAACATAATTATTACTGGTTAAAAAAAGCTTAACTCTCGAAACACATGTAATTCTGCTCCGGAACCCTTCTCGAAATTTCTTTTGGGAACCCCCTGCTCTAAACCTTTATTTGATGCAGGTGAAGAAATTTGCTTTCTTTATTTCCTGAAAAATTAGTTTTTCGGTAGAAAGACTTTCTTTGTTATAGGGGAGAATTCTTGTGGTTTTGCTAATATATCAAAATTCATGTTAATTGAATAATTTTCTCAGGAATTATTGGAAAACACATTACTTTCATAATGAACCTTATTTTATTTGGTTTGTTAAGCACAGTATGTTCGATTCTGGTTTTTCTGCCAATAAATTCTATGTTTAACGTAGAATTCCACTGAAAACCCTTGGTAATAAATGCAAGTTTTGCATAGAGCAAAATAACTTAGATTTTTTAGTTACTTCTTTTATTCTGGAGATTATAAGCTGTTATAGTTCGTTTATGGAAAGAACTCCTCTTGCCACGAAGTTTAAGACCGTTTGCTGCTATGGAAACAAGAAATAGCGCATTTCAGAGAGGGGAGTTTCTTTCTCTCCTTGGTTTCCTTTCTCTCGGTGACCCGAGTAAAAACATTTCTTAGATAATGGCCCAACATCCCTACTTGAAATAGTTAAACCTCGTAACCATAGTCACGTTCACCACTCCAGACGAACAGCTAGGGGAGTTCTTTATATGAACAAACTCTACTTTTATAAGCATTGGCAAATGTTACCTTCAAAATAAACTTTCCGATTCCGCATCTACGAAATCTTTTTCGAACTGTCAGCAGAGATAAATAAACTACTCTTGTCCCTGGAATTCTAAAATAAAAATAAATTTTTTTTTCAGTAATTTTTTAAAAACAACATTTTAAGGATACATCAAAGTATTTTTAATAATTTAATACCTGTAATTTTTGTTAAATGTAGCTGCAGCGATCAGACGATGCTCAATACCAACATGCGTTGATTGAAGTGAATATCTTTCTAATGCTACTCGCCGTTCTTTTTTTCTTTCCACAACAGCTTTCAGAAAAGCGTCCAGACCCCGAGAAAAATCTTCGTGTTCATCATCTTCCTCCATATCACTGTCAAAGAATGAAGAATAAACGGAATTATGAATAATTAGAGTTTCTATGAGCGAGAATACAAATGGAATTAATTGTACCTTATATCAATCCAATGATACCATCGGTGATACTTGATTTAGAGCATCAGTCATAAATGATAAATTAGTTTAAACTAATTGAATTAGTAAAGTTTACCATTAATTGCAGCTATAATTAATTTAAATATTAAGAAAACTATATCAATAGCAAAAGAATTATAATTAATTGGTGGAATAATATAAATCATCAATGTTGTTGTTGTTTTAGGAATTGAAAGCAAGGGGTGTGATTGTTCTTGTTTTCTAGTGGCGCCTTCTATGGCCAACAATTTGACTTCTGCCGCACCGATACATCACACCCGTTTATAGGGCTGATCCATTCATCCAAACATCTTAAATTTTGACCTGAACTAGAGAGAGATCAATCTCTAATTCAGTGCCCCCGGAGGTATAATTTGTTATGGGAACATGGAGAACTTTGTGACCCGACATATTTAACGTGCACCAGTCATCATTTAGTACACAGAAAGTCTAAATGATGGCTGGATTCAAACTCCTGTTCTCACGAACGCGTGTCCAGCGCCTTGCCAACCAGGCTATTCCGGCCTCAAATGATCAATGGCTAATCAATTATTAATATTTAAGAAAAAAATAATACGAAATTTAATTAATTATTATTAAAGAAACTAATATAATCATCAATAGTTAATCAATTATAGCACAATTAATGAAAAAACTTTTTATTGATTATTGGTAGAGATCACTATTTGTTTTTAAAGTTGTAAGAAAGTTCTTTAAAATAATTCGACTTAAGTCTTTGTACTGTAATTAAAATCGCTGCTTGATTGTACAAAAATATTTAATTTCCTAGAGCTAGCAAATATGCCAAACATGCTGTTGCTAATGAATTTTGTTTTCAACCTTTCGCGAACATAGTAAGGGCATTATGCATTGAAAAATTAATTTAATGGAATGGTCGTCGATGGTGTGAGTGATGGTTGGGCTGCGCGTCCCTCTCAGTAATTAACGATTTCTAACTGCCCTCCCTGATATTTTTGTCTAATTAAAATAAAAGAAAATCATGAATCATTCTTAATTAAAACTCGGCTAAGCTAAAGACAAGTTACATAATTTTAAAAGAATTATAGTTTTTCAGATATTTAGCAAGTGGAAGAAATGTTTTTCAATTTCTTTTTTCCCAGTGTGAAGTTTTTAGAGTTATTGTAAAATTGTATTTTAATTTCATCCCTCTCAAAAATTGGGAGCCTGGGCCATACTTAGATCTAAAATCTAGGTTGCAACACATTTTCCGGCATGCACACAAAAGCACATTCCCGTCAAATCTCGTCAATTCTGTTTCGTACCTCCCCCTTGTTATTTCCTTGTTCAAACTTTTTCCTCCGTCCCTATTGGTTAAACCACTCTGCCCTTGTTCGTCTCTACTTCTGAACCATCATTAGGGGTTTAGACGCTGTCGAAGGTTCTTGTTTATAGAACCGAAACTATGTCCATTTATGTACTTTCATTAATGCTTTGTTCGCACATTGTTTTTTACTTTATTCTGTATTATATATATTTTTTTTTCTTCAGTTTTTGGAATTCTTTACTGTTTTACCTTCCTGTCTCGGATTCATTTTCAGTGTCGCTGAAAACATCGGAGAAAGGTGATTCCATATGAACATCAGTTGAATCTCCTTTGCAACCATCATTCTGCACAAGTGGAAGATTCCGATTTTTGGAAGTCTGAATAAGGGGACTATGTATTCTGTCAGGGCTGTTATCAACGGGGCGGAACCTGTCGTGTAATAATAAAACATAAATTAAAATAATACACTGATATTGTTGCGAAATAATGAAAATACCATTACGAACTGACCTCTCTAGATAATAGTTGTTGCTTTTTGGTGTCCATGGTCGCCAATCTTCTTCAAGATGTCCTTCTGTTAGGCTAGCGTTTGAAGTTGGGGTGTTGTTGCGTATGATAGGGCTTTCAAGTTTTTGATTTAGGTGCTGTTGGTTGCTGATTTCAAAATCTGGCGTAGACCTTGGAGAAGTACAAAGTGACGTTATGATGTCTTTCTGTTTCTCGTCTTCTGTCTTTTCTACATTTCCATCAGTTGAGTCCCCGGTACTTGAAGTCATTTCTTTTTGACCATTCTCTCCATTCAAGGCAGGGTTGTTGTTGATTTCTGAAAAAGGTTTCAATTTTAACTTCTGCAACTGTTGTTTTCATATAAGGAGTTAACTTGAATACAGCTATTAGGGACAGTTATAAATTATATTGTATGATTGGTAAATAGTTTATAATGGCGTAAGGTCAGAAACTACAAGTAAAAATACTTTCGATAATACGCATTTAACGCAATAAAATAAAAGGTACTGGAAGTCATGTCTGATGCTAAAATAAAAGTTAGAAAAAGTATTAAATCTTCCGCTTATGTTTCGGTGAAGAACTGGTTTTAGAAAGTTAAGTCTATTGAAGTTCTTTGAATTTGTTTATTGCTAAATATAGTTTTCTTGTTTTAAAATAAATGTTTTAATTCTAAGCTTTTTACCTTTTTTTTAGTCTGACAGCATTTCTCTGAAATTGGTACTATTGTATTCCAAATAGTACTACAGTACATCAAACTTAGCACAAAACGTAATGAAACTAAGCTGTTCCAATTAAGAGCAGAGACAAACTTAGGACAAGAAATTAAATAAATAAAATAAATATTTAACAAAAATTTTCAAAGATGAATGCCGTTTTCTGAAAGTACTAGAATCATTCAAAGCACTATTTTTAATTTGAAAATTGTGGTAGAAATCATATGAAACAATAGTTTTTAAAGACGTATTGAAGAAAAAAAAATAGAGCAGCGCCAAGAGATAGGACACGAAAGACTGGATCAGTATATCCGACGATATTCTTAGAACTGTTTTTTAGTTTCAGAGTAAATAAAAAAGTGTTGTAGAAAGTCAGTTACGGCGATAAGCCGTAGTCATCAAAAATAAGAAGTTTGAATATAGGTCATCAACTTAAGATTTGCCTGCATGCAAAATAATGTGTCTGGTGCCATCATCTTTGATATGCGGAAAGCAGTTGTTGTTGCACAGATCTTCGATAAAATATTGTCATTGTTATTTTGCCGTATTTCACAACAGCGTCACTTTACAGGAACTAATCCGAGTAAAAGTTTGGTTCTATGGCAGAAATGTTAGATTAATGGAATAAAAATCGGTGTAGGCAATACCGGGCTGTGGCATTTAACCCTAAAAAACATTAGTGTAGGGTATACCGAACAAATGTATTCGGGGCAGTGGCATTTAACCTTTAAAAACATCAGTGTAAGGTATCTCGATACAGAGATTGCTCTTACCAATTAAGCATAAGAAACACGTGATTCCACAGCAATCGTGGCTACCATAATTATCAGATTTATTTTTTAGTTTTGACACGTGAACAGAACCCATTTAGTTCGAGCTTTGCTTCGGCACAAAATGAATTTTATTGAACTGGTTCATCCGTGCAATAGATGCTCCGGTTGTTACAACCTATCAGCCTATAAAGTCCTTGTTTTTTTATTGTTATTTTTTTATTATTTCTTTTAATTCAATTATATACTCTACTCGGAATCTTCCATTTCCCACTCAGTTACATATTTATCAATATAAATCTATTAGTGTCTAAATTTGAAAAGTGTTCTGTTTTTAAGTATGGTATTTTGACGTAGCAAAATGCAAGATTTTGGTTTGCTAATGCTGTGTTAAAGTTGGAAGAGAGAGTACCGTCGCTGACTTCGGAAAGATAGTGAAGTTTAAAAAATATAACTCTGAGCAAAGATTCATTCATGCTACATTGGTATGGTTAGAGCCCATAAAACATATGCTGGCTTGTCGGTGTGGTTGTACACTATCTACCAATAAGTATTTGGACACTTATGCAAATTACTATATCTGCGGTCCTGAAATACGTCACGTTCTACGCGAGTATATATCGTGTAGGGAACAATATCGGCATTAGTCCCATGCAAGATGCCTACTGCACTATTTTGGATGACAATGTGCTTCCTACGTTGTGGCAGTTTTACAGGGTGGACCCCTGTTACTACCAGGATGACAATGTGGTTAATCGAGTGGACTGGCCTGCCCAGAGTCCAGACCTGAACCCTATCGAGAACCTCTGGGACGAGTTGGATCGCCGAATTAAAGGGTGTACTACCCGTCCAAAATCGTTGAAGGAACTTATATGTCTTCTTCAAGCCGAGTGGAAGAAAATACCACTAGCTGTAATTGCCTCTGGTGGAGGCTCTACCAACTATTGATTATGAATAAAGTTTGTTTTACTTTTCAATCACACGTGTCCAAATACTTATTGGTAGGCAGTGTATAAGCAACCTAACTTAGATACCTTGTATTTTGTATTACGTGTAAAAGCTTGAAAGGAGAGTTCTTATGAACTATCCCGCATTTGAAAATTAGAAATTGCTTCTAAATTTTTATGGATCATTATTAGGTATCTTTCCATCAAATCGCCATAATTAGATTACGAAAGATGTTTTCTTAAAAAAGAGAGTAAGAAAAGTAATTTTTATCAGCACGAAAATTGAAACATCGAGATTCAAATTGAAGAATAACGTGCATTGGCCAATTATTAGAGGTAATTACGGTTTTGTTCAGTAATAAAATACTTAAAAAAAGTTGCATTAGTTTTGATAATAATATAGCGTGAATAAAACAATTTATTTTTTTCATAAGCTCGTGTAGGGGCACTATTAGTTTTATGCAAAACAAATATAAGATAACGACAATGCCGAAGTGAAAGAAGATTATGGAGTTAATGAATCGGTTACTCACGCTAAATTAACTTTTTGCCGAGCAGTTTTGAATGCTAATGGTTAATTATATTTATTCTAGAATAGTCAGAATGGTTCTGGTGGTCGATATATTTACGGATTTCAAATCTAATCTTTATTTGTTTAAAAGATAACAAATGGGTATCTTTGAAAACGGTAATTGAATTCTTTCGAGCAAAGTGTTTGCTTTAATTATTATTCATCGGATTTCAATGATGTGAAAATTCCAAGGAATGAGAAAATAAATTATACGTTTTATGTTTTTCATTATCTGAAGCTATTATTTGTTTAAGTAAATTAAAGCAAAATTTTCTTTGATTTAGAGATGTTTATTTTTGTTATTCTTAATGAGGCATAGGGTATTAATTTATTATTAATTGATCTTACTACACGCTATTTCATTTTACGTACTTTTCTTTAAGCAATGTAGATGATTATTTTTGGTCGAGATTTAGATGACTTTTTTTTGATTATTTTTTACTAAAGAAAACATGATATGCTTTTTAATTTTAGTTTTTTAATAGATTGATTCAATTTCAGTAATGTGCATAAGTATGTATTTATTTCGAATACTATATTTATCAATTATTCAATATATATTTTAATAACTAAACCATAAAAATATAAACGATGATATTACTAATGTAAAAGGTATCTTTATATCGTCTTGAATCAAACTCCTGCGATGACAACGACAATTATCTGTAATATTGTAGATGCTTTAAAAGTCAAAGAGTAAAGATGCCGAACAAAGAATAAAGATGGCGAACACAAAGAGCTGTCGAATACGTAGCCAAAATTTTAAAGCTTCTTAAATATCTCAGCATCTTATATATCGTCGTAATGACTTCATTTTAAAATTAAATTTTTAATTCCCTGGTGACGTATGATTCACATTTTCAACCAATTATTTCATTATATTTTTTTTTCTCTTTCTTTTTGCTACCACGTAGATTTTTTTCCGATAATGTACTAATCTATTTTGCTTAATTTTTATTAGTACTAGAAGTACTTTTTTAAAATTAACACTTCATTTTAAATAATTGTCAAGTTTTTTTTGCCGAATCTCCGAACTATAGCCAGTTAGCGGATAAGAATTTAAAACATTTCGCTATATTTAAATTACTTGGTGAGAAACGTCTGACATATCATATTAACGTACACCTATTTCTATAAGAATAAACAAACAAGTTATTTATCTTCTTAAATGCAAAGTTTCTTTTCTGGTATGGGATTTAAACTTGAAGTATTAAAGCTTGTAACAAAACTTGTTCTAAATAATATCAGTTTCAAACTATTCTCAAACTTTTTAATCTTCCTATTGACTTCTGTAAAGTTTTGTTTCATTTAATTTAAAAATGGTTCAAATTATTCAATTACTTACAACCGAAGAAAAGAACATTAAATTATTAAAATACATTATTTAAGCAAATAGCATTAAATCTAATTATATTCAACGTCATTATATTTAATGCCGTCTTTCTCAAAACATTAACTTTTGGCCTTAGAAAACTGAACTAAGAATTTTTTTTTTTTAAATATTAGTTTCGGAATACCTTAAAGAAAAATAAATTTTTTGAAGCTTAAAAATTAAATAATGTAAGGAAATAAATTGAATTGTTTGGTAGAAAAATAAGAACTTAGACGTAGAAGTGGCAGATGCATTTTCTACGTTATTTTTTTCTAAAAAAGTATAGTTTCTTGAAAGATTTTTAAGTGATATTGCCATTAAAAGAGAACAAATCTAAATGAAGAAAACTGAAAATTCCTCATTGGTTTTTGAGACTCTTTTAATATTCTTTATTCCATTTTATCTTCTAAAATTTCATTAAAATGGATAAGAAAGATTCTTTTTTGTTCACTTTACATTCCAGCATGCATAGCCTGTTTTCAGGCTATAAGCTTTTTATATAGTTCTTAAGACTCAATTAGTTTTCTCACGAGAACAGCAGTTTTACAATTTAGAATAAAGAAAAAAAAGGGAACATTTTCATTTTGAATTTGAAATTTAATATATTTTGAAGTTCTATTGATTTTTCTTGACTTTATATGTCTTTTGAGTTTTTAATAAATAGAATTGAAATCGAAGTTTTGGACGTATGTGTGCTTTAAAGTCTTTTGTTTTAGTTGTACTTTTGATTAAATGTTTACAAGAATTTCTTTTTTCGATATCTTTAAATTGCCTTTTTTGAAAGTACAGGATTACAAAATTAGGCAAATTAAATTTTAAGACAATAAGTTAAATTTTAATTAATTTTAAGACGAATTTTTTCAGAAACACAAAAATTCCTGTTTTTTCGATTAAGTCGAACATATGCCTATTTTTCTACTCAATCATACGTTGCTTGGTGCTT